GTTCAAAAATGCAATCACTGATTAACCGACACATATATTTATTAGGTATGTATAGTGATGAGGATATTTATATTTTTCAATCAAAAAAGGTGAATAATGGTCACTCTAAAAATTCGGGAATTCGGATGATAACAGTCGAACTCACTTTTCCAAGAAAATCAATATTTTATTGTTGTTTGTATCCAGAAGTGAATTTCACATAGGTACAGTTTGATTTCATTTTCTTAAATAAGATCTCTAGACAACCGAATTAGGTGCTGAGGTATTCTAATTTGAAGACGTATAATATGACATTTTTTATTTGCTAAAATGTATCAAGAGATAATGGTTGTATACCATTAAAATGATTAGTGAGTACCTGTACCTGTTAGTACCTATCTAACTAACCACCTGTATTAGTCCACGTCATAGATATTATATCATATTACGTTTAATATTTTCCAAGTCCATGCAGATATCAACCATCAAGTAAATATGTTTAAAATAGTAATTTATATGCAATATTGTTAATTGAGCTGGATTAGACTAGATTATTTTTGGTGCAATATATTATGTTATTTTTGTAACATTATAGTCTATGGTTTATGTTATAGTAAATTTATAAATATAGATACCTGAAATTATTGCTGCAAATAGTTTTTGAGCTGTCAGTGGCGTAACTAGAATTTTTTGCCTCAAGCAAAATACATAAGGAGGCCCCCCGTCAGTCTCAAATCACGAATAGCAAATAAAAATTAAAGAAGCTAAACGAGGTCTATTTTTTCAATTTTATTTTATCGCTTGGTGCGCATGAAAGGGAATCCCTATAATGGTAATAATAAGAACATCGTGCGTACCTAGGGAGGATAGGGAGAGGAGGTAGGTGTTGAAATTTTTTTTGAATTTTCGGAGATTATAAATTCTTGGAAATACTTCCTTAGGCAATAAATTCCAGAGCTTTCCCGCTCTATAAAAAACGTATTCTTTTTTACATATAACTCAACGAAAGATATCTTCGCATCAAAGAAAAGCAAATCTTGAAAATTATTTTAGAACAGGAGATCATTTCAAACTTTGAAAATGAAACGCTTATTTTATCAGAGGAAAACAAAACAATTAATAATTTCGAATTTAAACTAACTTATTGAAGGCTTAAATTATTTTTTCTCGCTTTATACACATTCCAAATTCATTAATTAGATTAGTCAATGTTCAATTTGTGGCCAGCTTCACTTTCGACAGAAATTCAACATGAATATTTCAATCGCTCTTGCCCTATTTGATTCCTTGAAAAGCTTTTGATGGGTTTACATTTACCAACGCGGTGTCCTACGTGGACCACTGCTATGCGAACGCGAAGCGACGCTACACGAAAATGTCAAACCACGAAAAATATTGGAGTGTCCTATTATAGGGTTTCCCTCTCGTGCGCTCCAAGCGATAAAAAAAACTGACCAGGATTCAAATTTGGGCGCGATAAACTCTCGATATTGATGACATTCTTCGTCCAGGTGTCTCTGTAGAAATATAATATTAGTTTCACTTCTTTGACATCGGCATTCCTTCAGGAATTTGTGTTTGAGACATTAATTCTCTAGTAAAAAAAGCATAAGTCCTGCCATTTCGGAAATACAAATTTGCGGACGCGAATATAGCGCGAAGTACGTAGGACAGCACAGCCGCATCGCATCGCTTCGCCCGGAATCGCCTCAAAATCGCGTCCTGTCGCGTCTGCTATTGCGTCATAACGTCATAAGTCGCAAACGCAACCAGAACTAAAGCAGAACATGATAAAAAATAATGTTCGCTTGACACTTATCTGCCTCTAGGTTCATCTGAAAAAAAAACTACAAAATTCGATACTGCTTCGAATATTCGCTTATTCAAGCTTTTTTTGAATAGAGAATGAGTAGTCGAACGAGGGGAGCCTCCAAGCTTGTCGGCCCCAACGCATTGCGCTCACTCGTCTTATGCTAGTTACGCCACTGTGAGCTGTGGTTTTTGAATAGGTGAATTAGGTATTGTCTTTCCAAAGCGCGGTGTATGTTTCATGCTGGAGCTGCTTCAATTGGTTTCGGAAAAACTGTAGGTACACACATTTTCGAAAACTTTCATTCTGCATTTCATATGTATGTACATAAACATAAATCGTATTCATGGCTGTGTCATCTAATCTGAAAGCTTTCATGTTCCCATAAAATCTTGCTAACCTAACATGTGGCCAAGTCTTGTAAATGTTTGAGCTTCCATATACAAGGTGATTCATAAATAAGACCGACAAACTATGTTCTCAGTTTCCTCTATTCATTATGACCTGACCTAACCTAACCTGTCTTGAAAGGCAATCCGTCAGGTGACCGAAAAATATTCCGATAGTTTGAAATACATCAGAATTATAAGCTTATATCACCTTGAAAATGATGTGGAAAAGTACTATCACCTTTTCGAAGAAAATATTGAGGAAAACATGATCAGGTACGACTGTAACTACTGGTTTAGAAATAAAAACTTCAAATTACCTATTCAATTCATCAATCAAGTTTATATTTTTTCCTTCAGGCGTATTAAATAATATTCAAGTCATGGTTTGATACCATATCTCAGACAGGATGCTTTTCAAGACATGCATTTTGCTTTAAAATAAAGTGAGAATTCTGATATTGAAGTTGACCAGTTGTCTCACTCTGTAAATTCGTATAATCATAATAATGCAGGCTGAATTTGAAAAAAAAAACTAATAACTACTTCCTATTTTAATTCTCAAATTATTAGTATAGATTGTGTATTTCTTTCATACATAGACATTTTCACGATCAAAATTTGTTGGAGGAGGTGCCATTTTTTAGTGAAACAACGATTGCTTAGGTAGGTATGATTGTAAGATCACTAATCGATTGAATCCACATAGCTAATGACATCCACATACATAAAAAGACGGTTCAATTTTATTGTTCCCTTTCAATTCAATTGAAAAGGTATAGGTAATACCTAACCCATTAACACATTGATTGCCACGTCATACATATGTGAATGAAACTACCACTTTCGTTTAGGCCGCGTCATACATATGTATATATGACGACATATTTTTGTTGTGAGGCCGTGTCATACGAATATGAATGATAGCCAATGCAATTCAGATGAGGATATGAATGTGTGGCCTCCAAGGAAGTTACAGGCATATTCGGCCAGAGCAAATTTTGATAGATCGTGATGCAAGACAATAAAATACAAAAATCATATATGAAAAGGTTTATTCATCGTAAAAACAGTAAAACTAATATTACATAATAATGAAAAATAGTTGTTTACCTAACAAGTGCGGAAAGTGATACTATTCCGCATGTGTTAGGTACACTATTTTTTCTACTAGCGTGCGGAAAAATAAATTCCTCTTTTCCGCACTCATTTCACTGTGGAGAGTTTTTTCCGCACTAGTGCGGAAAAATGACTCTTTCAACACTGAAATGGGTGCGGAAAAGTGTTTTTTTTTTCCGCACGCTAGTAGAAAGAAAACAATCATCATATTCGTCATACATATTTGAATGACGTGGCCCAGCGTGGTGAAATAACTCTTTAGGCTAACATGGGAGGCCACGTCATTCATATATGAATGACATCGAAAAACAAACAAAATGGATGAAAAAAAAATCAATAATGACTTTTGAGGGTCAAACTTGATTTTTGGAAGTGAAAATTCATGAATGGAACTAAAATGTACCTTTGGCCCCGTGGGATAAACTCCAGATATGGGCTTGGCAATCAATGTGTTAATCATTTATGAGACCATAAGTATGGACAGATTAAAATAAGGGCATTCAGTTTACATAAATCATGTAGTATTTTTCGCCAGGAACACAATAATATAGTTTGCCCTAATCTTCGAATCAAACGTCAAGCTATGTAACAAGTAATTGCGAAGAAATAATTGTCAATCAATAATGTATGGTTATTGATTTTATAATCAATCTAAAATAGCTAAAATTCGTTGTATCACTATCTTTCTTTTTTCTGAATATAACTCATAGACTAATTATTTTTCTTAGGTATGTATGCTTAGCTTAGCATGTAGTCAAATGAGAATGGTTAATGCTTGTAATATATTATTTAAATAAATTTATATTTTTGTTATGTTGATGTTTTATTTTTGTATCGGCCTAATGCCACATGTCTGCTTATTGTTAGATTGGAATGTTGCTTCCGTCATACTTAGGCCTTTTTTATTCCATCCTTCTAAGTGCAATGATTGTGTACATTAGTAGGTATCTATTCAGATATAAACTAGGTAGGTAATAAACAAATTATGGCAAAGTCTTCTGAATCTTTTTATATGAATGTGATTGATAAATAATGTTATTCAGAATGTTTATTATTACTATGGAAGTAGGCTTACGGCATTACTAGATGAATGTTTAGAAAAATAAGTTCTCGATAGAATGCCTTCCAGCCTACTTTCAAGATTATTCACAGACGCTTACAAATTATTCCTGACTTTATTGTGTAGTTATACAAGATCTTACTTTATCTTTAGAACAGCATTCAATATTTTGTCCCACTATAATGTAGGTCAGTTCAGTGACAGGTGAGTTGATTTAGTCTTTGAAAAAAGTAGATAAGCATTAGCAGTAGTAATAGACAATCTTTATATGTTTAGTGTGGAGGTCTTATTTACTTACAATATTCAATTATTTGCAATTTCATTTACCCCATTGGAATGAATATATTGCATGTTCACATTACTTTTTTTTAGATGAAAGATGTGGAAACTTTAAATTTGTAGACATTAATCATGAATAAATGAAAAGCTCATGCATATGAATCACATTATTTCTGTAGATATTTCTTTGAAAAATTGTAACAGAGAGTAGGGACATTGCAAATCTTCCAGTAAAAAATTGAATTTGTGAATAATTGAATACTAATAACACCTATGCTATTGCCAGTATATTCATGACTAACACTAATTCTGTTAACCAATGAAACGCATGTCTAATATCTAATCACCATTTCATTTTTTCCAGGCACACGTTGACAACCAATCTTCTCCGTTAACCCCCAAACAACCAGCCAACCCCTACAAAGAGTTGGTTCAGAAATACGAGGCACTCGTTGAAGTCCATCGCAAACCCATGAAGAACAACGCCCCCTCGCTGCAAGAAGAAATGCAAATATCAGGAGACTTCAACCCGCCGAGCATGAAAGACACCGACGAAGAAAGCGGCCACGGAGACAGTCTCACCACCGAAAAATCCCACAAGAAAACCAGGAAGACGTTCTCCACACCCACAGACTTCTCTGAAGCCGAAACCAGCTCCTCGGGCTTCGCTGATGGCGACGACACCAGCAACAAATTCACGCAGACCGAGGGCAGAGTGGGCTCGTTTCTTTGCACAATCGCCGATGGTGAAGATTGCAAATTCAGCATTTACGACGACGCTAGCCCCATCGACTCTCGGTTCAGGGACAGGCCTGAGTACCGAGACTTGTTCAAAGAGATCTTCAACGTGCTCAAGAAAGCCGCAGAGAACAAGGACGAAGGCGAGGAGCTACCCTTGTTGGACGATTGCGCAGTCAAAGTGCCGCCTGTCACGCCCCAAGCGGACCACGTTCCAGACTTCCTTGACGACGACTCGCAGAGTGTCGTATCTTCCACCATGTCCGAGCTGTCCACTTCCCAGAACGAACCCACCACGGTCATCGAGAACTTCATACAGTCCCAGAACCGGCCGATTCCAGAGCACAAGGGCGCTGAGACATTGCTACGACCGCTGGTTCGCCAGCCTTTGGAGTACCTCTCTGTCGAGGTTAGGAAACGTTCTTCTTCGAGGCGCAAGAATAAGTACTCTGACAGATCCGACTCGCCTGTTACTCATATAATCGGAAGCCCGAAGATCAACTACTCCAGCAGGCCCAACTCTGGAAGGAAACGTAGGGAACAGTCTAAGAATACCTCGGTCGAGACTCCGGAACAGAACTGTTGGAACGGGAACACTTTGCAGTTCTGGTCTTCCAACAGGAATGTCGCTTCGCCGACGCCTAGTCAGGGGAGCACCAAGTACGAGTTTAGGCCGAGTACTGCTTCCCAGGACTTACATAAGTTGAAGAAGTTGGATCTGTCATATGCCGAAGTATTGAGGAACGCGGATCACACGAAGAGAGAGTTGACTAGGCAAAGAAGGAAGTAAAGATATTAATCGTTGATTTTAATGTGTTGAGTGAAAGTTTCATTTGTATATTCCATGTTTTTTCGTATGCTCTATGTGTAAATATTTTTTTATGAGTGGATTCATCTTATTTGTGTTACATTTACCATATTTTTTCATTATGTTTGTTAACGTGTTTGATTTCATACAAAACTGAAAAAATCTATACTTAAGGAGTTCGAATTATGAACACGATGTGCCAAGAACAAAAACTCTATGTCTATAATCACAATATGTATCTGAAGTAATCGTTATTTCAAACATTGACAATGCTGAAGCAAGAAGAATCTTTAATCAAAATAATAGCACATTCCATTTAGGTACCTATTGGATTTTTGGATAGTCAGTAGCATTTTTACATGATAGTAAAATAAAAATTAAATGTTTGTGATTATACTGTTCTATGATTGATTTGGAAATAAATGAGTATGCATATTATTGATTGATTGTCTTAACAACCCCAAGAAACAGGACAGTATGCAGAGGTTTATTTGATTTGAAACATTCCAAATAAGCTCACCTCTCACCTACATGAGAATTTGCATAAAGTTTTGAAACACTGTGTATATTGAGACAACTGACAAAAGTTAATCTCGGCGTTCTTAGGCTGCTTCAGATTCTGCCACTAGAGGCAAGTGAGAATCTTTGTTTCCACAATTTCATACATCTATGGTCTTAAGCCGACAGGTTTCGTTATGTGTAATAGTATATTACGTAATATGTGTTACATCACGCATTACGTACTATACTTCACCTACTGCCATATAGTACATCAAAAAAATTTGGACAGACAGTCTGAATTATAATTCTTGACAGTTATGTCATCCGCTGTTGACGGCGATTACGCGATCATGACATACCTATACTGGCGGAATAAACGAAAACTGTGCGACGTGCTTACTGTGCGTAAAGAGCTACCTACTAAGGCTGTATTTCGTGTGTTCTTGCCCATTTTCTATAGTGGCCGTAGGTAAAAAATAAAGCTATGAAGGCATATATTAGAGTAGTTGAATTTCTAGGGATGTTATAACTGTGAATCCAATTTGAAGTAAGAAAAGTATTGTTTCCTTCTATAAAAAACGGTCCCTTTTACACTTAGACCCTGAGTAGTCTTAAAAAAACAGGTCGCGCTTAGACGCTATAAGCACTCCTATTGACAGCGGGGATACAGATATGACACTATCCATATGCGACATGTTCTCCGAAGTCGAAATTGTGAATTGATCGATTCATCAGGAGATTAGAGAAATTAAACAATTAAATCAATACTCTATTTATTAGTCATTGAAATATACAATAATTATATATTCTTTCCGAATTTGCGATTGAACTTAGGACAAAAAAAAAACAAAAAAAACACCGCACTAATATCAAATTCCATAATAAATTATTACATTATGGATATTCATTAATAGAAATTAAAAAAAAAAGCATTCAATTCCGATGAAACAGTACTTTGTGAATAGTATTGATATCCGGTACTAACTTATTATTAGGAGGACATGGGGGTACCGCCGGCAATCTTCTAGATGCCGAAGTTCTGAAAATAAAGAAATAAAAGCGAACGTAAGATTGCGACAAGACTTACATTTGTGGGTTATTATTTTTGTTTTCAATGTAGTCCAATACGGTTTTGCTTTAACCTAAAACAAAAGAGTACTTTACCTAAAAAACCTACCTTATGGGTTCGTTGTTTTTAAATAAAATGTTTCAATGGGCGAGTGGACTTCTTTTTTCAATATTTTACTCCTAATCATCAAATTAATGCTTTCAATCCAATATGAGTAAAGTCAGATGTCAAGTATCCACAGTACAAAATCACAGAAGTCGTCTGGAATTGAAGATTTATAAACTAACTTACATCCTTCTCCTATTATATGGGAAGATTCCTGATCAAAGGTAAATGTGGCTACATCACTGTACTTCTTATATTTCATAATACACTCACCGGCAAAAAAAACAGCCAGCAAAAAATCTTGCCAAATCAAGCACCTTGTAACTTTTTCAAATCTTGTCCGAATTTGAATTCTTCAAAAAAGCTGATGGCTCGATTATTATACAAAAGTTATTCTTTCACACTTAACTTCTTAACGATCTGTGGTGAATGGTGAAACATAGCTTCATCATATTTCAGATTGAAGTGTGATCCTTTCTTAACAAAATGGTTTTGGATTCACTTCATCACCTTCTTTTTAAGGGAAGATACAGGTATTTGAAGAGAGAATGAAAATTTTGAATTTCTATTAACCAAATGGCTTGTGGAAAAATTTGTTTCATTATTTCGAAGAACTAACCCTAACTAGTTCACTGTCGCAAACCGTTTTTTCTCCAGAACTATGTACATTTTTTGAAAACTTATTGAAATCATCCGAGAAAATTCGACATACCTATTCTCAATTTCTGTCAAGACAAGTGCGAGAATATTTCTGATTGCCATTTCAATCAAAATATGAAAAATGTTCCTCAAAAGGTGCTCGCCCTACAGTATGGTGAAGAATCAGATGAGAGGATTATTTTTGAATATTTGCATTTTGACTAGATGAAAGGATTTGAAGATGGACGTGAAAGACGCTATTGACGTTAGGAAGTTGGGTTGACAATGTAGTTCGTCTTTTTCTCTTCTTGTATTTCAGGCAACTTTAGACATTACACTGTTGCCAGTGCCACAAAATAATTTGGGTTTAAATAAAATTTCGAGCATTATTAGGAGATTACTAGGATATTTTTATTGATACTGAAGCACCTTTTTGCAAGTATCTAAGTAATCAATAAGTGATTATTAGGGACCAGGTCAAACTATTGTCTTCTGTGAATGTGAATACTGTTGTCATTGGTCATATGAATCTCATAAGGTAATTACTAGTTACAAATCTGGCAGCGTCGAAATAAGTGGTCCTACTTTTTATGTGAAAGCCAGAATTCAGATAATGATGACTTTCGGTTCGGTTCATGACGTCATCAAAGCTGGCGTATTTCGAAGGAGCCGAATTTCATTATTGAAATAATATATTTGCGATGATTTTGAATAACAAGTGATTGTATCAAATACTATTTAGACTTTAGACAATATGAAATAGGTATGTGGCGTAAATTTGACTAATGTGTGCAACCATTCTCCAACTTTCTGTTCCACCATGTTTTGGATTTAGAGTGTGATCCGTTTTCATATCATTTTAATAAAATGGTTCTTGATTCACGTCAACATCTTCTTTCCAAGATACAAGTATTTTAAGAAAGTATGAAATTTTCAAATTCCTCCAGAGGCTTATTCGCCTTCGTCTGGCCTTGTCAGATACTCTCCAAGAGCTACGATTCACCCTTCAAAGAAAATTCGACTACATCTAGGAGGTCTGCTTTTCGTTCGTTTTTGGTAATTAAGGTTTCTATTTACTGGAGAGGGCTGAAACAACGAGGTGGAAATAACTGATATCGACTTATATGTAGATGTCAATCGATAATAAGTTCATGTTGGTCCTGAAAATTAAAAAATCCATACTTTCCTAAAACATGTGTATCTTCTTTTTGAAAGAATATATTAACGTGAATCAAAAACCATTGTGTCAAGAAGGGATAACACTTCGATCCAGAACATGATGAAGCTAAGTTTAATCACTCACTTTTGCCACAGGGCGTTAAGAAGTTGAGCGTGAAATGGAAACTTTTGTTTTTGCCTGTATAATGACCAAGTCATCAGCTTTTTTTTTAATTTGAATTCAGGTTAACATTTCGAAACATGAATCTACGATTCGAGCGGAATTTCACCAAAATCGGACAAGAAAAAATGTTACCTCACGATCAATTTAGCAAATCTTTTGGTTGGCCTTTTTTTGCCGGTGAGTGGAGTTAGACAGAACAGAGAGCAGCTGCTGAGTCATTATCTTATATTTGAGGAATATTTGGTCACTCACAAAATACCATGAATGATAATACATTGATAAAGTCTTGGCATAGCAAGATCAACAACTGACATGATCAAAACTGATATTGGAGGGCGCGACTGGCGTTCTGTTTAATTCAGGTTGTGATTTCCAATGAAAACACATTTGAATTGAATGAAAAATCAGTGTAATTGTTGATTGAGAAAAATCAATACCAGTCCAGTCGCTTATTATATCATCACTAGTTACAATATGAGATTCCATATTGCAACAAGTGTAAATGTAGAGAGAACTACTTACTGTTCGAGAAATATGGCGATTACTTTTTCATTTGATGGATTTTGTTTAGTTAATGATACCTCATAGCAGTGATGCCTTATGACTCGCAGTCGGAAATAGAATGGATATTTCTACAAATCTCCAGCAACATTACAAAGGCTAATGGAACTTTACAAAATAGCGAGTTCTCTCCACACATATAATGCAAAAATTACTTTGTAGCTTGTAAATTGATATGAGTAACGTCCATAAGGTGTCTGATATTTACGAAACCCAGAACTATCCTAATACAATTTTATGTTGGTACACACTGATTTCTGGTATTTTTTGACTCATGAATATAATTGAAAGGTGAGCTAACTTTGAAGAAACTTGGTCTTCAAGTTTATTTGTTTGTGCAAATGTAAAAGTATAATTCAGCTTATCAATATGTTCAATAATCAGACAATTCATTATGAGAGATTTTGGTATGCTCACAAAACTGACCTTATCAAATTCTGAACAAGACTTATTAGTAATCGCCGGTGTACCGTGTCTCGTTACATGATTAATAAAGTTCTTCAAGGTGTATCCACAATAGGCAGTCGGTGGTCGGCATTTGGTAGTCGAAAATGAGCCATAGGCACTTTCATGCAACCAATTGCAGTCGATAGTTAGCTGTCGGCCAGTTGTCGTCGGTCTTCTATAGTCGGCAACCCCGGCACAACACAGTGTTGTCAAGTGTACATGACGAGGAAGTTTTCTACTGTCGATGTGTTTCTCTCGCGAAGTGGGTTAAGGAAGGGTAATAAGGTTATGTTCGCTGTCGATGACTCAATTCAGTTGGTGACGACCAAATTGTGGTCGGTATGCTCTCGAGCGGCCGAATGTCAACGACCAACTACCAACTAACGACTGCCTATTGTGGATACGCCTTAACTCCTTCGCATTTTTGTTCACGATGCTGTCAAACATGACAAGCTGTTAGGCACATTGAGAAAACTCTGACTTAGTTCTTAAAAAATATACCAGCCTGTGAAATATGATTCATATGGATGATTTAAACATAATATCGGTCGCACATTACAGGGTGGTAGTTACAATAGGTTTTAAGCGACGTAAATAGTTGAATATTAGTCAATAGAATGAGAGAAGACTGGTATAAAAATTGCAATTTTGAATTTGAAGTTTGTGCCAGAACGTATTCCAACAATATCACAGAGGAACAGAGCACATTTTTTCTTTGAACACACTCGAGATAATCGGTAACAATTCTAAATATCCGGAAAATAGCAGCAAAGGTGGGGAAACTTGAATTAAATTGAATTGCATTTCCAGTTTGATTATTTTACTATTACCTGAATCTACATGTCATCCACTCACTAAATCTATTACTCAGGGACTCATGTTCATTAGTATAACAAATCTTGTTAGAGTAAGCAAATTAAGCTAATATCCAAATAAGTTAAATTGAAACAAAACCACTTACGATTCAGATTTAGGGATCGGTAGAGCAGTGGGGTAATTCAGAGGTCTTTTGTTCACCAAGAGGCACTTCATTGGCTGTCCATCTAGCTGTCTATTGTGGTAAGTGTCCACGGCTTTTTGAGCGTCTTTCAAGTTTTTGTAGATTACTTCGGCAACACCTGGACGTACTAGTTTTGCAGCTAGCAGTTGACCAATGTCTTCAAATAACTCCTGAAATGGAATATAGAAAAATTAATTTAGAACATATCTCATTCTTTTTTTATTCCTGTGCTGCTCAAGGTAAGTAATTTCTTAGGTAATATACAATTATTGATGTCCAATATTTTGTTAGGTCTCTCACATAACTTGGCCAACCCCATATTTTCATAAAATTGAAGAGAACTCGAAGAAGTGGCGGGGTTATTCACATGTTTAGTTATCCTTAAGGCGCAACTTATTTGGATTACATGATACAACGAATATTTGGTGATTGGTTGAGTGAAATATGAAACCTTAGAAGTTTCGATTTTATCGAACAATTAATGCAGCATTAGCAGTTTCAAATCAAAAACATTATCTTATGTGTGGATAAGTAGAATGGTGAATTGATTCATTCATCCAATGTTATATGGCTAACAGCTTCATTTCAGGATAATTTAAATAGGAAAGAAAAACTCAAAGTCGGTCGACCACATTTTATAACAAAAATAACATCAAACAGTGACCGGTTTCGGTACAACGGGCATCATCAAACTAGGACCGGTTACGAGTCAGAAAACACAATTCCATTGAACTTATAAGTAAAACATATAATAGCCTTCGTGATGTGTTTGATAGCGGCTGAACAGCCAGAGACAGTTTTTTGGCTCTTTTTTGAGCCACCCTGTGACCAAGCACATTTCGAAATATTTTCAAATTGTAATTCAAAGAAATTCTTGACGATTTGTATATATAGGGTGACTCATAGTTATTGGGACATAGGCTAAGGGCGGATTATCTGGACCAAACTATGGTGATAGGACTAAATATGCCTTGATAAAATATTGCTGTGGAAAAAGACACATGGCGTTGAAGTTGAATTTTTTTTTCGTTTTTTGCTAATAATTTCAATAGTTTCGTAGTAGACGAGCAATAATCATAGTGAGAAATGTCATTTGTCGTTTTTGTAGTTATCAATGGTTTTCTGGCAGTTGTGTGATCAATTTTTGGCGTTTGAAAACTCATTTGATATTATAAATCTGAAGCAGACAACCTGTCAAGAAAAGTTAGGTATACATATCTTAACGTGACGTTACAAACTGTATTTTTATTACATCAAAACACATGAGATTTAATTTTTGAATGCACATACACACTATAGAAGTCCCAATTAACAGATATATAAATATATCCATGAATATTGATTCTCTGGCAATGGTTCCGCAGAGTTATCCCCACCATTCGCGATTCCATTCATTCACCCATGTTTGATGTTTCGGATTGTTGGCGTTCTATACTTTTGAATAATTTATGAATGAATCGCGTTGTCTATCTATTGGCGGTTATCAAGGTCACCATCTGACGTGGCGATGACGTTGTACCAAGTCAACCCTAATATTTAAAGTTTGTTGCTATTTTAGTTATTGTAGTTTGTTATAATCTCGATTTGTGCACTCTCGCAGTATATTGAAATGAAATGGTGACAGGAGATGAGTGAGAATGTCAGAGGTGGATGTCAAGAGACATTGATGATGCCAATAATGAAAAGACGAGAAAAGGAAAATCTTACGTTGAGAATCCAATATCTGCTGTAGAGTACATGAGCTCTAAACCTGATTGTCCCTTAAATACATGCGTGGTCATTCCATGGAGTAGCAGCCGAATCACCATTGCAGAGGACAGTTAGTAGGACTAATGGTTCTCAGAGGGAGTGCACAGTCTACGCGTATATTAAAGCTTATCCTGAACTCTTAAGTTGCGGCGGATCAAAGACTTCGTAACTGTATTCGGTTAAATTCATGAATTGCGACGGATCAAAGACATCGCAATTGTATTCGGTTAACTTTGTAATTTTAGTTTATAGTTTATGTTCCCTATGTTTTTGGAAATAAATGTATCAGTAGTCACAAATTGATTCACAATCTACGATCCCACTACAAAACAAGTCTCAGAGGCACGTTGTGGTATGACGTTCAACAAAAGGGAAAACATTCAAAACTCCTGGCATAGATAGAAAGTTAGACATGTTCTTCCGTAGTTTTAAATGTCATCGCAACGTCATCTAATGGCCTTGAAAACCGCGAATTGTTATTTAGTCTGAGGTCTGCACCAGGGCCTACTCTATCTCACCGGGCCGGAGCATCGCTTTCGTGACGTCACACTAGTAGGGACAAAATCGAGGCGCTGGAAATTGCTTTTCCCAATTCATTGAAGTACAACGGGAGAACGGTAACGGTTATCAAAAAATGTCAAGAGATCAGATATGTACAGACTAGACTTCTTCAAGAGATGAATCAATATTCACTGATTTAAGATTGATAGTTCAAGAAATATAGCATATCAAAATGAATTGACTACATTCATAATTGTCGTTTTTTATACAGCTGCTAGAATTACAATATCCAATTCACAGAAATGATTCAACCATGCAAAGGCTTCTCATAGTATCTAGATTGACTGTAATTGTTGTCAAAGTTCTCAAGAGCCAATAACAAACCGATATTTCAATTCAAGTAATATGGTGATTCAGATGATTATTACAGAAGTTTAGACGGCCCCCATGCTAAACCTATTAGTTGTGGATATATGCTGTCACTGACTTTTTCGTAGTGAATTTCATTGCCTACAAATCGATATGATACACTTTTACTGTATCTCAGAGGATTTTAGCAGCGTTTATGTCTAAAGATAATCTGGACACACTTTGATGACGTTAGAAATTATATACCTACCCGAGTAGAAGTTATTATGACAGCGAATCAATTATTTTCAGCTATGGAGTATATATTTTAGAAATAATTTCATATTAATGAAGATAAATTGATTTGAAAACATTTTCAAAATATGAAAATTGAAACGAACAAAAAATAAGTAGTTCTCATACACACAATACTAAACGAAAGCCATTCTGAAAATATTCAACATGATACAAGAGAAAAATTAGCCAGATATTACAAAATAACATGTATGTATTTATAACAAAATATATATATCACAAATTAAAAAATGGGCTCAAAGCTTCATATTCATCAAAGTCTGATGATTCTTCTTTTCTTATTACTTATTTGACTGAATCCCGCTTTATATATTTCATATGTAATACCTAATTATTCAACACAATATTCAATATAGTTTCCGAAATATCAAGAGACCCACAACTGGAACATGAGTAATAAATCGTTTATTGACATTTATCTATAGGAAAACGTTATTACGGGGAAATAAGGTAGGTATAATACTAGACAAATTTTTACGCGCTCATTATTACTCATTTATTTTGGACCATTGTAGATGCTAAATAATTTTCTCACTATGTAATTGATGCATTATCCTAGTTTGACATACTCAGTCAGTTTCATTTTGAACCGATTCCAAATTCGCAAAAAATAGTATTCCGTAGTAGAACGTCCTGATTTTCATTAAAATTGAATTTTTTTACATCATAAATCGGTACTGGTTCATCCTAATGAATTAATTTTTTTACCGAAAGTTGGGCAGTTCATCAGGGATCAATTCTTCTCGATTGAGTGTGCTTCTAATTTTCAAAGTAAATGAGCTATAACCTTTCAATTACGAACGCACCGATATGAAATGATGTGAAATGAAATCTCAACCTACTAGTGTGACGTCAGCATCGAGGTAGAGGGGATAGACTACGGCCCGGTGAGATAGAGTAGGCCCTGGCTGCACGTTTGCAATGCAATAAACTCCGATTATTTCATTCACACCCGGCTGGACCTATGAAATGTCATGATTGAAGTCACATGATATGCAATATCAGCGGCTATTTAGGTAAACAGACAATATGAGCGGCTATTCTGTTCGCCAGCATAAGAGTGCTATGGCTTGACATACCTATCAGTCACTCAAAAATTGAAATGTCTCGTTTTGGGTCAACTTCCACTACAGAAATCCGTGATTATGTAAGCGAATCGATATCAGAAAATAACAAGGAGAGTAAAGGGTCTGTCTGGAACAATTCATGTTTTTTGTCAGCAGAAAAACTATGAATTTTGTGCGACTACCTCTACTATCGTGATTGCTCAAATCCTGAAAGATTAGATGAGGAGAACGGTGTGGAATATTAGGAATACACATTTGAAATTGATATGGAAAACTATATACAGGAAGGTTACTTCAATGAACATAAACGTAAGACGATTCCATTTGAATATATTGAATTCAAAGGTGCCAGGGTTGCGCATAATGCAAAAAAGCGAAGCCTACAATATTTTCCTCAAACAAGAAAAGATAAAGTCGTGGAAATACACCAAGTCACAAAACAAAAGTCTATAGAATTTCTGGTTACCATTCGCATGTGTATTCTTAAGTATTCCAGATTTTGACAATCATGATAATCATGGTAACGAATATGGCAGTTCATTGAAGTCCACGAGAACGGATATGTATGTGCGTACCATTACAAGTTTCCATGTTTTTTTTTTCTCAAAGATTCATAATATATATTTACCTGAAAAAACGAATAACTATAGTTGAACACTGAACAGTATTGTCGCGGAAAATCAGTTCGGGAAACCTGACGAGATGTTTTCAATACCTACCCGAAATAAATGTTGAAAATACGAAATTCGGATATGAGATCTCTTGCACCATGAACAAAGGATAACTCTTGATATTCCAATACCTACCTTTTCTCCCTTTCCACCCCAGGGATGGACGATGTTCTACGAACATAAAATAGTCATTCTCTCTCGTTCGTCTTAAGCGATAATAAAAATTAAAAATATTACCTGCAATCCAAAATATGACTTCAACCCTATCGGATTTTGGAATAAATACGATTTCTCAAGCTGTTCAACATAATCTGTTTTTCGCAAATATATTTACAAGCGATTGATGCTTTGGCAAAAAAAATATCAAAAAAATGTATTAGTTTTCTCCCCTGATTTATAAATTATAGAGATATAAAAGTATCTGTGGATGACTGGGCGTGGAGATTTTTCTTTGCCCCGAAGTGTTTAAAAATTTATTTTCAGACCCGAAAGAATTTTTTCAGCTGATAGTCAGTGACACTTCGTGAAATAAGATGTTGAAAGGTATTTGAGGAAAAAATTATGAAGAAAATATGTGAAGATGTATTACTCTCCATATCAACTAGAGGTTTCGGAAAACACTCTGTATCCATTATCAACATGAAATTCTTTCGAACAAATGTTTTGTCTTTGGCTTTCTGCAAGAAAGTAAGTAAGTGAGTAGTATAACTCACATGAATTATATTTCGAATAATAATTCCTCGTCAACATCAACTTAATTTAATATGAATTATTCAGGAAGTAACATTTTTCAAAAACAAATATTTTCATTTGAACGCATTGATCCTTCCTCCGATGACGTATCGCTCTCATCTGAATCGAAAGTTATCACGACAGGTTCAATATTGGAAGCACCTATGTATTTCTCCGTCCCCCATGCCGAAAATATCACTTTTTCTGTATGTCCTACATAATTTCTCCAATGCTCCACACCCACAGCTTCTAACGCCTTTGACCAGACCATTATCACATCTCCCGGGGATGATTTAGTTTTGATGATTTCGGCGTCATAAATCCTTTCAGCCTCTGACCACACCATTTCTATGGCATTTTATTGGCAATGGTGAGGTGGTAATCTCAAAATATTGTGACCATGTTCTGATGCGTAAATATCTAGATGATGATTTTTTGGAATGACGTACGCTTGCCTGCAATTGATGGTTGTTCTACAAGAAACTGCCTATTGTTGCTCCTCTTGAATTTGAATCCAATTTTGCGAATCCAGGTATTCACGGATCTTGGTGAACAAGGAAAATCAGGCCATTTTTTAGTGAAACGCCTATGGAGCGATTTTATTGTAACATGTACTCTAAGAGCCTGTAAAATTGTGGAATTACCTTTTTTTTATTTCTTCGGCCTTTTTCGAAACTGTTTCTGCATAAACAGCATCAGAGTTTGTTTGCAAATTCTTGATCCGATAAATACTCCTTTCTGAAATATTCAGAGCTTCCGCGGCAATGCTGACAACATTCTCTCTTTAAACTTGGCAGAAATCATCGTGTTTTACAAAATACGCGATCACACTCAGAATCAATGTTTTGGATTGATCATTGAATCGTTTCACCATTATGATATAAAGAATTCGAAATATTATTGATGTATAACCAGTACTCTAATTGTTTGACATTAAGTCACAGTGACACTTCAATGATCAAAATATATGAATCAAGTTCCGACGTTCCTTTTTCTAGTGATTTGCTGTCTCATTCAGCGTGCGATGAATAAAAAGAAACAGATTTTGCCTTGGTGTATTTCCACGACTATAGTACAGAAGCTCTAATCAAAGAATACTAACGCTATCAATAGCGTTAATATTCTTTCTTTGCTCTAACTTTAGATGAATTGATTGCAATTGTACATGATGAGAATACGCCAGACGGCCTTCAACATAATTTTTATTCTAATAGTATCTGCAGAATTGTGAAATTACACTTGAATAAAATGTTGAAACTCATATAAACCAGTATTTTTACACTGTTCATGAAATACTCTTCCTGAATATCACTCGACCATGACAAATTGAGACTATTATTTTCTTTAATTCATCTCGAGGAACTCGTATTTTGGGACAATTCAATTCGACCATATGAACATAAATAATCATAGAATAACTCCCTCGCGCTAAAGCTCTCGGGAGTTATTCAGATTATTAATGTTCATATGGTCTCATCAAATTGTCAAAATACAAGGTACTCTCGATAGAATTATGAAGAAAATAATAGTCGGCTATTTGTCATGGTCTCGGGATATTACTCACGAATATCCTTCTTACCTTGATGTCGTCCTGTGTCACCGTACTCTGCAAATTCGACACGACGATCCGATGGCCGGCGGGCACGACGACCTTGGCGTGCGAAAATATTCCGTGCGACGCCGGCCGCGGCGAGCCGTCGAGACGCGAACGCACGTCGGTGGAGCGCGACGTGCCTTGAAGGGCGACCGTGGAGCGTGCGGGGGCCGCCATCGGCATGTCTTCGTCCTCCTCCATGGGAGCGAGGTCGACGTAGGCGGGGAGCGGCTGAAGGCGGGACGGTCTGCAAGAAAAAGATCGAGTAGTGGTCCATTCAATTGATTGACTGTCTTTATTATCCCAAGAAACATTATTGTTTATAATAGGGATATATACAACAAAACATACATATAACATGATAAATCGAAACAATAATAATTGCACAATCATTATTTTTCATAAAAAGAAATTATAATAAAATATGAAATGAAAATATTATAATCAAATTGTGAATGATTAGTAGACATGGAATTGAAGTGTACTGAGGAGATATTTCTTTCATTTGATTTTAAATTTTTCTGCTTCTTCTATATTTTTCAACTCATTAGGTGAGTAGTTACATAAAATTATTCTATTATTGTTGTATACCAAAATTTGACATAATAATTATTTGCAATCCATTAATTAAATTACCTTGTTTCATGGGCGTGAATTGTATTAACTTTATTAAAATTAAAATTTGATTTTTTCAATTCCTTCCTGACAAAATGAATAAAACAACAAATTTTGAGTTTATATAATGAAACCTGATTCAGCAAGTCTTTAGGTTTGTATAGATTTACAGTTGATTCTAAAAAGGGTTAATTGAAACGTGAAATATTTGTACTCTACTACTTTGTAGATACTAGATATTGTAAGTTTGAATAAAAAAGACAGAAATAAATACTAACTACTAATAAATAACAGGAATGAAATTTCGAATTTTATATTTAATACCAGCAATAGGATTCATTTTTTTCCTCAAATGATCTATATGTAGAGTCCACGATAATTGTTCATCAATATAAAGACCTAAAAATTTTGTTACATTTGTATATTCAATGGATTTGATATTGAAACATATTGGAGTATTATTCAATATATCTGATGTTCTTCTTGAGATGTACATATACGTAGATTTACTATAATTAAGAGTCAACTTATTGGTCGTTAGCCAAGATGATATTTGTTTCAAATTATTTTTAATATCATTATTGATATCGTTAAACTCTTTTTAAGGTTATTCATCCACCAAATCTCTCAGAAAAATTAATTTTCAAAAAAAAAAAGAGGAAACACGCCAGTTTTTATTTGCAGTGGAACAACGTTTGACACAAAAAAGATAATACATACTTCAGCCCTGCTTCCCAGAGCAACTACTTTGATATTGGTGTTCTCACTCCCTACGAAAAGGCGTTTCGAAATCTCTCGATATCGCCTACTTTGTAAAAATAGCGAGGCGTGGGAGAATCTTGCTGAATTTCCGAAGTTTGAAACCAAATTTACAGGCATCATGACACAATCATTTGAGTTCACATTTTTATTTTAACAATTTTTTGTGTAAATATGGAATCGGTGCGTTATATTTTCGACTTTCAATGGTGAATTCATGAACGACACGAAGTCCTACCTCAAGAAAACCCTGTGTTTATTTACTAACTTTTGGTATATGAAATAAAACGAATGTTCGGATTTTCAAATAATCCTCACAAATTGCAGCAAAGACAGTCCATGATGACAGCACAATACACTCACTCAGCTAATAAAATATCAATACCTGCTCATGCTACTAATGCTCTCATAAGTTATCATTCATAATAATTTATCGTAACGTACTTCCGTTAATCGTTCCAGAATTACGTCATTTGACAGGTTGCTGAGGGGCAAACATTGTATTTTGTCAAGATTTGTCATACGAAACCGGAAATAGTGGGATCTTTTTCCTTGGAATCCGAGTTGGAACCAGAAAGAATTTCATAATTTTGTTTGTTGAAACTGTTATTATATTGTGGATATGGCAGGGATGGCCAGGGCTATGCTCATCAAAGGTAACCTAACAGATAGTTTGTGTGCCCCTCGAGAAACCATGTCAAAATCACGTGATCTGGAATGATCAATAGGATTTTTCCAGTACTTTTTATAGAATGTCGTTCCGCAAAACACTGATCGTGGCTGCAACGCAAAAGATGAGCATTTCCCTCCTTCTATATTGGCTTTGTGGAACGGTGACAGAACATCATGTAGAAAGGAGATTGGGTTTATTGTTTGATTTACATTGTGACATGATTAATGATATATAATTGTCCTACTTACAATATTGATTAAGGAGTCCTGAGCTCATCGAGAATATTATGTCATTTTATATAATTCAAACAGGTATTACAAAAATAAGAATGCCATCAATTGAGGAGACTATTAGGAAGTAATTGATGCAAACTGTTCTTCAGGGGATATCATGTAAGATACCTATTTGTTGCTTTTTGATGTGTGGTAGGTGTTAAAACTGCGATTTGCGAAAGCTTTTGCTGCCGCACATAACAGAACTCCAGCTGTAGTAGTGCCAAATATTCATCATTCAGGTTATCATGCATCCATTGGTAGAATTGTTAAGTGTTGTTGTTAAGGATGTTTTTTCACCACTAGCTATGAAACCTACCATTATTTACTCTTTTTCGAGGCGTAAAGTGTGTTTTTACTACCAAGGTCATTTTATGAACCACTAGTCAATAAAGACAGCCACCTCTGTTGTAATTAACCTGAATTCACTGTTCTCATGCGTCATGCGATCTTCGCAAGAGTGGCACTAAAATCTAGTAGATATATTTGTCAATAACGACTTGTCATATGCTGTCATGGTCATGGCTACAAAATTTTAATTAGAATTGAAAAGAAGTGCTTTCATAGTGACAATAGGTCCATATTTCAGTTTCTCAGTACTATAATGATTTAAACGTATTGCTAGTGGTCAAAAACAATTAATATACACCTTGGTAGCAAAAAATGATCGCGATAACGACCAGTTGCTATAAGCAACGTAAACTAAAAGGAGCCTTCTAATTGGTCGAAAATAAATTTATTAAATGTTCTATAAAATTCAATGAATGTGGTTTAAAGGTATATGTTTTTACTGTGACGGAAAAAAAGTTTGAAATTCCATCTCTGTTGACAGGTTATAAAATGTCACTTTTCATAAATTACTTTTTTCTACAAACGTCAAAAAATGACAAGGTTCGCGCATTGATAACAAATTGCGAAGTGACACTTTTTTTCAGTTTCCTACGTTACCATGATACCTTGCACAAAACAATGCGCGAAGTAAAACAGTGCGCGAAGTACCTACTTCGCGCACTGTTATGTAAAATATATGAGATATTTATATTTCAACTGATTGGTCCTCATTCGAGCAAACATCCACGAAATCATTTATTTCTGAATGTTCAACAATAACTTTGTTTTATCTCTTGGAGCGAACGAAAGGAAATTCTTATTATGTTCGTGGAACATCGTGTGTACCTTGTGGGGATGGAGGGAGTCCTTTTAAGCCAGTTCAACACTATTTTTTATATCAAGCTAAGCATATTTTTACTTTCGAACTATATTTTTTGACGTTTGTAGAAAAAATTTTGTTTGCAACTCGAGCGCGAAATACTTTGGTCATCTCGACTATTTTTTTAACTCGGCTACGCCTCGTTAAAAAAATCAGATCTCGATCACCAAAGTAGCATTTCGCGCTCTAGATACAAAAATAACTTTTTTCCCACGGAAAAACTTTTTTTCCCAGATATATAACATATATATACACCGTTGATGGATTTTGTTGTGCTAGTTCCAAAAAATAAGCCAATAACTCCGTCTCCAAGAAAGAACTGCAAGTACTTTTTTTCATCTTCCATTCGACTTCGCGGTTACGTAAATTACTGAACAACCACTATATTCGCAATTTTTTTAAATGAAATCACATAATTAGACTGACACTTGTTTAATTACTTCAAAAGAATGATAAGGAAGCCTGCAAAAAGATACCTAACGCAGGTGTCATTTCTGTTAAAAACTTCATGTCGGTAATTTTCTGATTCTAATATAATGAAATATCTTCTCAATATAAATTTTCTTTTTCCTGTCACAGAAAAAAATAGTGTATTATACACGAGAAGATATTAGATTTTGGCTCACGGTTTTTTGTCTCCCCCCACTACGCGTCTGGAGGCAACACAACCTGGAGCTAATATCTACTACTTTTATCCCTTGTATAATAAATTACTATTTTATACACTCACCTTACTACACTCTGAGATGACCGCAGAGGTGCCTTATGGTAAATACCAGCCATCTTTTGAAAACTACTGCAACATGAAACATTATCTGTATTTAATATGGAGAATGAAAAATTGACATTGTTTCATCTACCATTTTTTTTTATTGTGCGTTAAGTTATGTAAGTAGAAGGTGGTCACCCGAGAGAAGGACGTTTGGAGTTTGTGACATCATATACAAGGTGTCCCAGAACAAAGTACCATAAATTCTACAGGGTGAACTAGAGACCAAAATAGGCCGATTGAAATCAACTTACCTCCATACGAAAATGCACCGTTGAGCCATGATAGGGCGATGAACAACAATTTTTTTCCAGATTTTCTTCAATATTTCGAAATACTTGAAAGGTACTGCTCAGAAATTCGTAGGGCAATTTACTATAGTGTATGGGCATGGAAAACATGCCGTACCATTTCAATCACTATACAGAGAGTTAGGTATTTCGCATTCTCTTTGATACGGAACTGACCACATATTGATATTTCAAAGAATGTCAAAATCAAATATCTCATTTTTTGCTAACTGCAGTTTGTTTTATTATTTTCCTTGGTTTTTGACATAAATATCCAAATTCATTTTCATAGATGAAAAGATGAAAACCCAAAGTCATCTCCATAACTTTTATTAGAATCGAAGATTAATCGTAACGGTAAATCATGGACCATATTTCCCTGTTTGCCCTATTGACTACACTATTTATGTGTCGACTTATTTCAATTCCATAACTATGATACTTTCTATTGGCTGATGATGGGCTGATATAATCCCGAAACATGTTCCGTTACGATTGATCTTTGATCATTCTAATAAAAGTTGTGGAGATGACTGGGTTTTCATCTATGAACTACACCTTGAGCTACACTACACTTTGAGCTACCATAGACTTCTTCCAAAAATTAAAATTTATTTCGGAGCTTCTCCATACGAATCGTTTATGATGTTAGAATGGGGGCTAAGATTGTTACTCTCACCAGTTGGCGCTACTACTACTAAAATCCCAAAATTTTGTTGGATAGCCCTAAAACCTCAAGTTATCGAAAGCCTTCTTACGTTTTTCAACTCTCAATGTGGCTTTCTCTCTATCTCTCTCTGAATATGGCCTCTTGTCTTACGACATGCAGCCAGCCCTTATTACGGAGAATCCGTCCCCATCCGGCCTGGATACCGGCGTGAATAATTATTTTGTTTTTCGAGCACCCTGGATATCTCACTCGAAGTGATACCAGGTATTCTGCTCTTTTAGTGTTTAAAACTCACAATCACAAAAACATTAACCTGACTTCCGAACTGAAGACGCCGCCTGTCTTCCACCGCGGTCGGAAGTCGAATCCCTCAATGTGGATCGTTACGACCAATTCTTACATTGAAGGAGAATAAGATATCATAGCAGAAGGCCAAATGACATGAAAATAAGAAGTATATTTTTTATCAGTTCTACCAACCCCGACCTCATGTTTTGGTGGGGCGGTTTGATGGACAATAAATAATGTTAGCCTTCATTATTATGTTGTGCTCGTTTCTACCTTATTTGTGTGGAGTTATTGACCATGGTTACCAATTCGCAAGCTCTTCATCATATGAATTGGCAGCTGGTCATTTCAAAATTTCAGTTCAAGATTTCTGATAAAAAAACTTTATTCTAGAAAAAATAAGTAAATTTGAAGAAGACCAACAACATTATCGTATGCTGAAGTAGTTTATAAACATGATTGTTGTGGTCAATAACTTAACACAAATGAGGCAAAAATCTGAAAAAAAATGATAATCATCCTAATCAAAAACAAGTTAGGAGGATCTCGAAAATCAAGAAAAAGTATAGAAATACTGCGGTTAGGATAAAGTGAGATGATTAATTTTGTCATCCATCAAAATATCAAAATTTTTATCAAAGAGAATGCGAAATACCCGAGGGGTATATCACGTGGGAAGTCCAGTGTACCCGAGACGGGGATTCCTCGGGAAGTCTGGTATTCTTTGGGAGTTTCGGAAATTCTTTGGGAAGTCTGGAATTTCTTTGGGAAGTCTGGAAATTCTTTGGGAAGTCCGGGAATTCCTTGGGTAGTCCAAGTAGTCATTGGGAATTTCGGGTATCCTTTTGGAAATCCAGGAATTCTTTGGGTAGTTACAGGTATTCCTTGGGTGGTCCCAGGAATTCCTTGGGTAGTGCCAGGAATTCCTTGGGTAGACCCAGGAATTCCGGGAATTCTTTCGACAAAGGAAGTCTAGTGTACCCGACATTGGCCCGCGATTTTCCCCTCGGAAATACCTATACCTTCCTGTATATTGATTGAAGTGGTACGACATGTTTTCCATGGACATTCACTATAGTGAATTGCTCTACGAATTACAGAACAGTACCTTTCAAGAACTCCGAAACATTAAATAAAATCTGGAAATAAAGTTGTTCTTCATCGCCCTCTCACGGCTCAACGGTGCATTTTCGTATAGAGGTAAGTTGATTTCCATCGGCCTAATTTGGTCTCTAGTTCACCCTGTAGAATTCATGGTACGTTGTTTTAGGACACCTTGGATATGCGGGACGAACTGACAGTTAGATTTTTCTTCCCATTTGTAGCAGCCTTCATTGTTACAATGCTTGTTATTTATAAATGATGAAGCTCTAAATTCGAATGAACATTTGAATAGTGTAACGATAGTGTGTACTTGAATTGAATTAATAAATGAGAAAAAAAATACATTTCTGCAAATTATTTTTGCATTATCAGAATTTCAATAATTGCAACAAGTGATAAAATTGTGAATGTTTTTAGCAAGGCCAAGTAGGAAGCTGCATATCTTGAATTGAAAGAAAAGGGATTAGTATATACAAGGTGATTCTTGAGTACGTGTAAAAAATTCAGTAGCATGTTACTGACGTCAAAAATCATAAATTCCAAAATTATCGTGATATTCGAGTGAAATTTGTCAGAAATTTGCTATCTCACTCGAATATCACGATTATTTTGGAACTTATTCACAAAAACCGAAATAACAATCAAACTTTGACACTCTGTATCTCAGAAACGAATAACTTGCGGACATATGTTTATACGAACTTTCCTTCTTATTTTGACGTCAGCAACATGCTCCTGAATTTTTTACACGTACTTAAGAAACACCCTGTATAATTGATACTGATTTCAACTTTCAATATTGGTGTTTCTAGCAGAATATGAACAAAAATTCAATATAGTTGAAATATGGCATCTCAAGATTCCTCGTCTTAGTTCATTTTTTAATTAATTTTCGACTAGAATAAAAGGCAGAGATATCGTAGTACAATAGTTATAAATTCGTCGTCAAAATTGTTCGCAAAGTAAATTAGAGTAGTATCAACTGCGAATAATTTGATTTTGCCTTTCAGTATACTAATTTTGAAATTGAATTTATGTAAATTAAAAATAGTATTGGACCCCAGATTGATTCAACATATTCTTTCATATTACTAAGATAATGTTTTAACCCCTGGTGTATATTGTCCCTTATACCTATGCTATATAATTTATTCAGTAATATTTTTGCTGTTCAATGAATTTTGAATAAGAACAATTTTCGAAAATATTAAGTAATTCTTCATAGTCATTATTAGGATTATCAAATCCACCAAGAGTATTATTGAAATTTTGCAATCTCTTCCGAAGTTTCCTAATGTGGAATAATTTAATTTCCTTCATGTATGAACCACCTCGTTTTATTGTACTTATATTTCTCGAAATTGTAAAATTGTTCTTCCTTTTTCATCAATGTTTCGGTTATCACAACAGCTTGTACTTCTAATTTAGTGATAATTATTTCAAGTTCATCCATTTTATTTTTCGTTGATCTTGAGTTAAGATGCAATATTTTAAAAGTCTTATTATTCAGGAAATTGAAGTCCATGATTGAATTTATTTCAGTTATTTTAATATTTTTCAAATTATTCATGTTTTTCTCTGGTTTTATGACTAATTAATTGTGAAAGCTGTAACTTATTCAAATATACTGAACTGCTTTTATCTGTTGCTGAATGTATTAAATGAAATCACAGAATTAGACTGATGATATTCGATTACTTCAAAAGAATGATAAAGATGCCTGCAACGCAGGTGCGGCAGGTGTCATTCCTGTTAAAAACTTCAAATTTCACGTCGATAACTTTCTGATTTTAATTTAATGTAATATCTTCTCAATATTGACTGGTCGTTTTTCCTGTCATAGAAAAAAAGTGGTGTATTATACACGGAAAAAATATTAGATATTAGCTCACGGTTTTTTGTCACACCACAACCTGGAGCTAAAATCTACTACTTTTTTCCCTTGTATAATAAAGAACTGTATTTATTTCCGCAAAAACAGTGAAAGTTTGTTTTTCGTCAATTAATCTCAAAAATATAACGAAAATTCATCGCCATCCCTTATATACATTCTGGTCAATAATCATTTCCTCTATTTCTTTTTTCTTCATTAACTTATCGATTTTCTGGTTTTTTATTATTGTTTCATAATTTATAGGAGTTTTATTTTCTACTCCTTCAGATAATTTTTCAACGTCTTTTCTATTTCTGCAATTCATTTCTATATGTCCATTTGTCAATTGTCTGATGGAGTTTATTCCAATTTGTAATTTACTAACATTTATTTTATTTTCTATTTCTTTTTTTGTTTGTATAGTATAGATGATTGGCTTATAATTGGTTTTATGACTATAATGTTGGTTGATTTGATATAGGTGTTTTAATGGTTTTGATTACCTCGGAATAAGACACTTTCAAATCAGTATACTCATTTTGTATCTTTTCGGCTATAATTGCACGAGTGCATAAAAATTACCGATAATTTTGCAAGAAAGCCTGTTATGTAAAAATTGCAAATTTATTTTCTCCTCCTTCGGACTCGGGCTCTTTCGCCAAAATATGAAAATAAACGAATGCAATTTGTATAAGATAACACGTTTGAATGCAAAATTGTCTGGTCAATTTTATGCACGAATGTAATTCATTGGAATATTTCACGAAGTAAGGAATTCTGTCTGTTGGATTTGGTATTCTTTGGTTCACTTTCATTTATACTTTTTTTGAAGTCCATCTGACATTTACTTGTATTGTTTACTGGCGTCTAGGGATATGGCTTTATAAATGTGTTGTTATGGCGACGGGATCTCTTCGCAGTGCAATCTTTTCTCTGCAGTGCAATTACAGATATATGAGGAAAATATTCTTCTATATTCCTCATTTGACCAGAAATCATGTTCAGACTGTCCATTATAGAGTCAGTCCTTTTCGAGGATATTAGAAACTATCAAATCATAATTTGCTTGAAGACTCTGTTTTTCTTTTTGAAGTAATTCAATCATACAATCAATCAATCAACTTTATTATTCCCAAGAAACAACATTTGTTTATAGCAGGGAACATAGTGAATACATAATTACATAAATATATTTGACAAAATAAAATAAAGTAAAATAAAATAGTAAAGTAAGTAAGAGTAAAATAAGACTCACACTCAAAAAGAATCTTTTTTTTTTCAAGTTCAAATGAAAATGATGATAAGATGTCAATATTACAGGAGTAGATTTTTCTTGAATTATCTTTTAAATTTTTCAATCCTATTAATCAGCTTCAAGTTATTTGGTAGTGAATTGTATTGTATCATTCCATTGTGATAGATGGATTTTTCACCAATATCTGATTTAATTTTCTTGACAGAAAAATGATCTGCTTGTCTGGTTGTATGGTTGTGGTGATTACTATTTTTAATAGTAAATCTTTCTCCATTAATAACGCATTTTTCCCATCAATAACATCTTTGATTTCTTCTTTCAAGAAGAATATTATATCAGTCTCACATGGATTTGACATACTTTTGGATGATCCTTGATATTCATATACTGATGCTTCATTCAGAACTTGACTAATCTCATCAGTTTGATCCAATTTCTTCTTCCACACCATGTCTTATAATTTTTATTCTGGCATTGGAAATGCCAATATATCCCAATGTTGATATATCGAATTTCTGTATATCTTATGAATTAAAATTCCACTTGAAACTGTATTTTCTGCTATTGCTCACCATATAATTTTCAGAATTTTCAACTTTCAATAAATATGAGAAAATCAAAAATGTTAGATGACAGTTAGTGCACTGGACCACTAACAAAACATTCAAACTTAGTTTTGTTTCTTCTAGTCAAAGTACAAGCTTCAAATTGAACTACAAAATCTAAGAGCCTCATTCAAAGTACCAGTGGCTCCCCCTGCTTCAATACTTCTCATATTTAGCCAACTATATAGAGCTAAATAGTGAAAAATAGGGGAGAAAACTCAAGTATTCAGCAATATCTCTAGTTAGAAACGTTTTCACATTGCCAAATAACATGGCAATGTCAGATGATGACCTTGAAATATGCCAATCAAGCTCTTTACTATCGTGAGCGATAGAGAGGAAAGTTATCTCCTCTTCCATCTTTTCCTTCAGAGGAAATTGAAATATAATGTCCAGATGTCCGATAATTCACTATGTGCCACTCAATTATTTTTTATGTAACATGAAATACGAGATGAAATATCTAATAATTAACAAAATCTTAGTGGTCCTATAATTCTTTCCTTCTACAATCTTCTCTGTACTTGGAAATAGTCTCGGAAATAGTGAAAAGACTGTTGCACAAGGGATCCCAACATTCACAACTCCTACAAGTACCCAAAAGAAACCACCTAACTGGTGAGTAATTTAAAACTCAATAACTATCAATAAAACACATTTCTAGTTGTGATGTGTGACTACCAGTGTTCAATTATATGTCATGAGTGAGTGTCTTCGATTAAATAATATACTTGCAATAATTGCAGGATAAAATTGTTTCTCATTAACATCAATAATTATGACCATTAATAATATTATTATGTTTTTCATAACATGTAATACCACAAGTGATACTATTTTGCCGGGAATATTCAGTGATTGTTAGGACAGCTTGTTGCCTAGTAATTTCACTAATGACATTTTTTGTCAAAAATATCAGCCATAGGCAAGAAGTTTTGGAACAATGTCAAGAGGGTAATTAAAGCAGCAAGTTGGATTCTGTCAGAAGACAAAAATTCCCAGGAAAAATAGCATCCATATGAATATTTCATGATTGAATCAGGAAATAAATGATGGTACAGAAATCCGTGCCACCAAAATTTCTTATTAATTATAACTGACAAATGTTTTTTATCCCTATAATTTCAAGTTCTTGTGCATACTTTCATTGGCAAAGAATTATCACCTGTAGAATTTGACCTAATATGAAGTCTCCTCTGTAGTTAAATGTGAATGGCATTTTACATAATGAAGATCAAAAAATTTCCAGTGTAATTTCCTTACCCCAAGGATAAGGAAATTTTTCCTGAAATTTGTTTAGTTGCTAGTTGGTTGGTCACCTGTATGCAATTCTGCTTCTATATTGATAGAGCAAGTCTGATAATTTTTAGTGAACAAAAAATATTGTAATAATGGATATATCATGCAAATGGATGATTCTGATTGGTTCTTGAAAGCAGGAGTGGAATAGGCACTCAAAATCTAATGATTTTATACACTAGAAGTTAGTTAAACAAATATACAGTGAGGACCAAAACCACAACTTAGTTATTTCACATAAGTGTTCATAAATCCAAAATATAAAGATAAAACCATTAAACAAATTTGTTCAAACTTCAACATAGAATCAAATAATGCAATGATTTAGATGAAACTGGAACCATTAAATAGATCCAATGAACTACTGGGCTGATTGGAACAATTCTTATACCATTAGATAATTTTTACCACAAGAAAATGCATGGGAAAATGCTTCATCCTATGGGTACTAGGACAAGGGGTAGTAAGAATAATTATCCTTCCATACTTATCTTTTTAACATAACTTCTAAAGGGCTGAACCAATTGGGTTGAAATTATATATAGGAATTTTGATGGTTTTCTGGATGATTTAAAAATACATATGGAACAACTAAACAGCACAAACAATTTTTAAAAAATAACAAACAAATTTATACTGTAGATACTGGCATACCTCAGAAGGACTGCAACAAATGTCTTAATTTTTCAAATGGGTACAATAACATTGCAAAGCTAGTATGTAAAATAAAGAAGTTACAGGTGGGGGGGGAAAGGGGCAATAGACTTTTTTCCATGCCATAATAATTACCATCAAATGTATTCTCAATTAATAATCTTTAGAATATACTATACATATATGACTACCAAGCAGCACAAAATGGTATACTTAGTAAACAGTAATAATTTTAAAGCCCACTCACCTGTGTGAGGCATATGTTGGCCAGCCATTACTGAATTCCTCACGCAAAGCCTCCCTCATAGCTTGCCTTGTGGTTTCCAAGGAATTTATCATCTGTGAAGCAGCACTCACTTTCAATTCTGGTTTAGACCACTTATACAAGGCAGGGTCATATAATCTAATGGGTTCAACAGCTGGAGGGTAGTCCATTTCATTCAGGATGGTTTTCCTGATATTAACTGGTGGAGATCTGGCAGTATTCACAGCAGCATTACGTTTTGGGGGAACTTTTCTAGTGGATGTCCTGTTAATGGGAACCAATCCCAACTGTTTACGTATTGCCAAATTCATATCTACTTTCTTAGCTTTGTTTGTAACAAGACTGATTTTTCCATTAGGATCTGTTTTTTGTACAATATTGCCAATTATTTTGATCCTACTGCCAGTATTTGGCCTTCCAGTTCTAACATCTCTAATCTTGTTTATTTTGTTCCTGGCATCCTGAGTTTTGGCTTTCTTAGCCAGAATATCCCTAGCATCTAAGACAGTTTTTCTTTTTTTTTGTGAAATTTTCTGGCGAGCATCTTGAACAGAAGGCGAAATTCCTTGCTTTTTATTTTTCTTTACAGCTTGTTTTCTGATAGTTCTGAGGTTTTGTACCTTCTGAGATTTGAACTTCCTATTCGATTTATTTCTGAAAAATTGAAACAAGAAAAATTGTGTAGCTATTATTACAGTTGACGAATAACGATTAACCCCAATTATCAACAAAAAATAATTCTTCATACATACCCCACAGGCTGTTTCGCCATTGTGATAATCAGTCTTTTGATGCTATTGAGTAATTATAAAGTAGATGAATCAACAATTTAAGCAAAAATGTCGAATATTCTGGTGATAGTCACTCAAATCCACTACGAAATGGACCAAAATTACAAATATTCAACAAAAATTCAACTGAACTGAACATCAGTCAACACAACGCAGTGACAAGAGCGAACGGCCATGACAGGTGTAAGAATGACATTGACAATTGATGGCCGTCCATATCAAATTTCAAACGTCAACTAAACACTGGTTTGTTTGAAATGCAGTAGCACGAATTCAATCTGACGTATGGAAATGAACCATCTACAGGACAGACCCAAAGAGAGAGGGCGCAACAAATAATCCGTGCGGTCTCTGTATCCGTGCGGATATAATTCCACAGAAAATTTTTAGCCGAGGGCTTATAAATCATATAAATACGTTGAAATATCAGGTGGCGTATTCCTGAGAAAATTAAAAAAAAAAAGGTCTAGATAAACTTTTGTTCGGAAATGCTTCGTTTCGGAGATACAGGGTGTTGAAATTGAATTTGTTCGCTTTTTTAAAATAACTTTTGCAAATAATAAGTTATTTGCACGAAATTTCTCTCGTATTAATTTATCTGTTACATATAGATGGCGCTGCGTGCCCTGTCACTATTTACTTCAAATTGCCCTAACATTTTGACAGTAAACTTCTGGCACTTTTCATAACGAAATCTTATTCTCACGCCTTTTCCAAGTGAAAAAGATACACTTCCTCAACAACGCCCATAATTCCAAAAATTATATTAACACATTAATTCGAAGGGAATGGTATTTGAGAACATTATATACTATGCAACTGCATGCAACCAACAAGGCACGTATAAGTGATATTGGTTATAGATGTGAATAAGAAGTTTTCATCTGACTTATATAGATGATTAAAACTCTTCGATTCGCTGAGGTATCAAAGTTTCCGATTTCCCAGCAGGTTTGTATCCATATTCCGATCACATAATTTTTGTTCACATAAATGTTCTTACGTTTTTATATTGTCATGCTTAGCGCAGAATAAATTGCCCACAAAGATGAGCTAGAGCGCGTTTGAAAATGTTCGTAAATTCTGAGAAATTTGATTTTTATTCTCTAACTTTACCACCCTGTATCACGGAAACTAAACAATTTCGGATTGAGGTAAGTTTCTTCAAATCGGCTCATTTTGACCCCAGATATATGTGCTTAGATTTTGTACAGACCATTCAGGGACACCCCGAGTATCAAATTTCTTTTCACCCCACCCCTCATACCTACTATCTATATCGAAATCAGTCGTATTTGCTCGGAAATTAATCGGTTGAAAGGATGACGAAACCACGGATAATATACTGTGACGTGACTGTGACGGAAGTGATAAGTCATCAGAATAGAGATATCAGAATGATGAATCAAACCAATCGGCAGTCTCGTTCTAGATTTCATTGCGTACGGCTCATCGGCTCATTTTGACCCCAGATATATGTGCTTAGATTTTGTACAGACCATTCAGGGACACCCCGAGTATCAACTTTCTTTTCACCCCACCCCTTATACCTACTATCTATATCGAAATCAGTCGTATTTGCTCTGAAATTAATCGGTTGAAAGGATGACGAAACCACAGATAATATACTGTGACGTGACTGTGACGGAATGTGATGAATCAAACCAATCGGCAGTCTCGTTCTAGATTTCATTGCGTACGGTACGGTCGACTCAAGTGATAGAAAAATATAACTCAAATTATTCAGAAGTGAACAATTGAAATTAATCTTCCGTTTGGTGATTGTATTTCATTTGATTATGTGAAAGTTGTATTTTTCAAGATGGTAAGTGTTTTTGTATATAATTATGGGTGTATTCATCACATGGTACATGCTTCGGTAAATTTCCATTTCACGATGAAAACATTTGGAATTCGCTTTCTATACCAATATATACAACTGAAAGTAGGTGGATATTTATGTAAAAATTTGCCAAAATACTGGCCATTCTGCTGAGAGTTAAAATCGTTCAAAAATTCCAATTTCCAAGGCATTCTGATATTGCAATTTGAAACATGCTGTATTGACAGGTGTCGATGAAAGAGAAGAGGTAAACTCCATTTCGCAATACTTCCAAAATAAAAACGGATGAAATCATGTTTGAAAAAACTTAAGATGGGTCGATTTCTGATTTTGATATACTATTATTGATATATTAATCTTAGTTACACAGGGGGATATCCGCCATATATCTTCTTTGAAAATATTCCACAGGAAAAAAAACCTTCAAGAAATACCATATCTGGGAAACATCCTTCGTGGAATGATTCCTCTGTACAAAATTCCCCATAAAAAATTATCTCTATAAAAATTTTCCTGGGGAATGAATATTTCGAGAGCAGGTTAGATTAGGTGATTTGATGAAAAACAGTCCTTCCTAGGAGATATACCTATATACCTATATACAATAGTAATGTTCATTCAACTTTTAATGAATCAATGTGCCACTTCAAAATCGTTTATATTCGAATAATACAATTTTTGGCTTTGTTTCCTGCCAGAAAATATCTGATTCGACAACTATCGATTGATAAAAAAAAATCATAAACCTCATTTTGCATTATTTTCAGAGTAAGAATTATTCATGCAATCCTAATTTGCACAAACTGAATAATGAAAAAATCCCCTAATATGATGCTGACTTCAATGGTGAGACTGTATATTAAATTTCTTTTCACCCCACCCCGTATACCTTCTTCCTATACCGGAATTTGTCGTACATGTTCGGGAATCAATCGGTTGAAAGAATGATGTCACTAATTAGTCAATCTTGCTTCAACATTACGAATTGAGGAATGTAAAATAGTTATTTTCTTTCAGCTAATAATGAATTTATGTGCCGATTTGAAATCATTAATATTCGGAAAATGGAATTTTTGACATTGTATTTTCTGACAGAAATTGTCTAATTCGACAACTATCGATTGATCAAAATAATCGTTGAGTTCGCATAGTTTGCAGAGTACGAACTGAATAACAAAAAAAATTACATGATGCAGACTTCAAGGAGACACTATTGGTTTGTTCGCGTTCGAAATATAAACAGTCCGAAACCATCATCAGAAGCATGCGCAGTTTCACGAAACATGAAAAATGCGTATAGTTCTGTGAAACTGCGCATGCTCCTGATGGTTTCGGACTGTCTATATTTTGAACGCGAGCAAACCTTATATTAAGTTTCCTCCCCCCCCCCCACACTTTAACCCACTTTCAATATCGGAATTAGTCGTACTCGTTCAAGAATTAATCGGTTGAAGGGATGACATAACTAAATAGTCATCACAATGATCAATCGGCAGTCTCGTTCTAGATTTTATCGCGTACGGTTGACTTAGGTGATATAAAAAATAACTCTAACAAAAAAACAAATGTGAACCAATGAAAACAAAGTAAACAGACCGCTTTGACAGCTTTCAAGTACTCCGATAGGTGACGTACGCTTATTTTCTATCGCGAAGCACAAGGAATTCTAATGAGAAATGACAACATTTTATAATGAAAACTATGTGAGATCACTATTTTTACCTGAAAAATCTTATTCCTTTGTCTCTCGCTCCACTTTTTGTGTATTTTGCAATAGCACAATGTGATGATATGCTTGAATTAATGAATAGCCCAAAAAAACACGATTCGTCTGCCAAAATATTGTGAAAAACTATTTCAGTCCTTCTTTGTTAACAAATAAAAAAAGTGAGGTTGTGTTTCAATGTTTCACAGAATCACAGAAAAGTGAGGTTGTGTTTCAATGTTTCACCTCCAAGGTCGGTCATCGTGCATTGTCCATAACCACGAATGCGTGCAAGAACTGTCAGATGACCGACACTGGAGGCAAAATATTGAAACACAAACGTCACTTTACTTATTTGTTTACAAGTGATTGAAATAGTTTTTCACAATTATTTTGGCATACGAATCGTATTTTTCCGCTATTCATCATTTCGCTCATGCCATCACATTATGCTGTTGTGAAATGCACAAAAACTGCAGCGGAAGACGAAGTAATCCGGTTGGTACAATATGATTCAAAAGTAAGTACCTACTATATAGTCACTCACATATAGTTTTCATTTTTAAAATTTGGTAATTTCTCTGATTTCTCATCGGAATTCTTTCTGCGATAGAAGCTAATAGAAATACATCTGAAATTTCTAAAATAATGCCAGAAAATTGGATTCATACAATCAATCGGGAGGACTGGTCTGACATGCTGATGATCGTGTGTGTTGTAGACATTTTTCAATCTATTAGCAGTATTAGCTTGTATTGCAGAAGTGACAGAAGGCAGAAGGAATTTTAATAAGGAATAACAACATTTCATAATGATAACTATGTGAGATTACTATTTACCTGAAAAATCATATTCTTTAGTCTCTTGCTGCATTTTTTGTGCATTGTACAACAGCACAATGCGAAGGCATGCTCGAATTAATGAATAGCGCAAAAAACACGATTAGTATGCCAAAATATTGTGAAAAACTAGTTCAATCCTTCGATTCCTCTGTAACCAAGTGAAAAAGTGAGGTTGTGTTTCAATGATTCACAGAAGAATGAGGTTGTGTTTCAATATTTTGCCTTCAGGGTCGGTCTTCGTGCACGCGACCTATTGAGAGGCAATGAAAATTCACGCGTGCTTATTGAATTCATTCCAGGGAAACCAACCTGGCTATACCAATCCTAGCGAAATGTTTTACGAAGTCTTGTATTTCTGTGTCTGTACTTTGACATTGATTATATTGTGGTATTACACCTTGTAAGTAGGGTCTTGTCAAAAAAAAACCTCATTACACATATTCTTCATTCAGTTATCATTTCAATTCAAAGGTTCCCATGAAACTATTTTTGCACAACAATGCTCTTTCAGTGTTCAAGAGCAACAACACGATAAATTTGAAACCGGCCCTGTTACAAATTTGGAAAATGACGCGATGCAGAATCACTATTAGGTAAACAAGCTGTGTCTTTTATTCGTCTGAGGCTGTGCCACAGCCAGCCACAGCATTGAATGGAATGTGGATGCATGGCAATGGGCCGTAGGTGCAAATGGGCAGAATGGAACGTTCGCATATTGTCACAAAATACTGTCTGTTTTATCAAGTGTTTAACATAACTATGGTGGAGGTGAACTCGTGCACTGACCAATGTGGAAACCGGGAGACAAATTCATCTGCTCAAGCACGCCAAATTTGAATTTCTTGAATGTAGAAAATACTTATATGGTCTGAATATCCAATCATTTTTCATAAACCTAAGATCAATTGAACATTGAACCAAAATGAGCTCAATGAACGATTCCGAAAATAACAATTGATGCAATTATGACAGAGAAAATACATTTCAAAGATGATATTTCAATCATATTTTAATAATTAATAGTTCTTAATTATCATGATGTTGAAGAAAATAGTCACTCGAAAAGTGTTGTCCATTAGAAATCATCAAGAATATCCAAATGACACCCAACAAAATGCTAACCAAGCCATTACACTACTTGGTCTAGGTATAAATACCATTCTGAATTCTGAAAAGCGAAAAACTTCTCTTCAAGAATTATATGTTATTGTTGAAAACCTTCATGATACTCACCGTCCTGAGTTATATGAAAAACTAAATGATCTTTTGGAAGATACACTACAGCAGAAATTAGAATCCCTAATACAAAATACTGACGATTTGTTAGAATCTTTGAATTCTCGTTGGACCAAATTTGGTGAGCATGTTACTGTAATCAAAAATATTTTCCTGAACTGTGACCGATCAACGAAAAATAATTGTACCAACTACAATACTGTTCATCATTTGAGTATACATTTATTCAAAACAATTATTATTCTGAACCCCACCATAAAAGATAATTTGACTATCCACTTAGTGAATATGATTCAGTCCCGTAGAAAAGGTGATAAAGTTGATATGAAACTACATGAGTCAATACTAGACATGTTAACAGATATGGAAGTTTATAATGAAATATTCCATAATCAATTTATAAGACTTTCCAATATATTTTTTAGCGATGAAGGTAATATTCTTATAGATATGATAGATATAAGGGCATTCTTGAGACATGTACAAGCAAGAATCAAGTTAGAGGAAGAAATATCCAGCAATTATTCAAATTTGCATACATCAAGAGCAGTTTTGGAAGCAGTGTGCAAACAATTAATCAAGGAACACATGATTGATATTGTAGACAAGACTTTTGATTATTTGAGGAAAGGGAAAATTAGGAATGAACTATGTATTTTGTTTGATTTGGTTAAAAAGGTTCCACTTGGTTTGAAAACACTATCAGACTACTTTGTAGAATATATTATAGAAAAAGGAACTTCAATAGTTAGCAACACAGGAAACGATAAAACTATGATACAAGAAATATTGGATTTCAAAGATCAATTGGAACAAATTGTTAAAATTAGCTTCAGAGGCAATGAATCTTTCAAGGCTATTATAAGAAACTGTTTCATCAAGTTCATTAATAGTAAACAAAATCAACCTGCCCTACTTCTGGCTAAATATGTTGATATAAATCTTAGATCAAAAGATTTGTTAGAGGATGATTTGGAAACCATTCTTGATAAAGTAATGGTTTTGTTCCGGTATATCCAAGGAAAGGACATTTTTGAAGCCTTTTATAAGAAAGACTTAGCCAAACGTCTCTTATTATGCAAATCAACCAGTCAAGATGCAGAAGACAGCATGATAGGAAGACTCAAATTAGAATGTGGAGCTGCATTTACATCGAAAATCGAGGGCATGTTCAAAGACATAAATATAAGTCAAGGAATCAATAATGCTTTCAAACAGTATTTAAACTATGCTTCTCAGATATCATCGGATTTGTGCATAAACATACTGACAAGTAGTTTTTGGCCAAGTTACCCTAGTTGCAAAGTGAATCTACCCTCTGAACTGGTTAATTATCAAATAACGTTTCAGAAATTTTATTTCATGAAACATAGTGGGAGGAAGCTAGTTTGGCAACCAAACCTAGGACACTGCATTGTCAAGGCAGTTTTTGAAAGTGGGAATAAAGAATTGCATGTTTCACTTTATCAAACGATTGTACTTTTGTTGTTCAATGATTCGGAAACAATGAATTTTTCCGAGATCCTAGAACTCACCAATATGGAGACTGAAGAATTGAAACGCACGTTAATATCTTTAGCTTGTTCAAAAACAAGAGTTTTGGTAAAAAAACTGAAAAGTAGAGATATTGATACTGATGATGTGTTTTCAATCAACCACAAGTTCAGTGACAGGCTATTTCGGGTGAAAATTAATCAAATTCAGCTGAAAGAAACAATTGAAGAGGAACATGCTACTGAAAAAAGTGTCTTAGCTGATCGACAGTTTCAGGTGGATGCAGCAATAGTGAGGATAATGAAAAATAAAAAGCAAATCAACCACAATGAGCTGATTTTAGAACTATTTAATAATTTAGATATTCCTGTGAAACCATACGATATAAAAAAGAGAATAGAACTGCTGATTGAACGAGAATATATGGAGAGAGATAAGGATGATCCCAGCAATTATACTTATATTGCATAACTTTTTTGAGAATCTGTAGTTGAATTTGTTCTTTGTTGTCCTTTTTGTTATAAAGCAATACAGGGAAATATCTGCCTTTTCATTCAACCTAGAACTGTGACAAGACAAAACGTCTATAGCTTTGTCATTGTCGTTCTAGATGATAACCTAGTTAGGTCGTTAGTAGTTATAGTATGCGCCACTTGACAGGCAGGTATATTTAGATCTTTGATTGATATATTACGCTTACGCTGGGAAGATGCCTAACTTTATGGGACAAAACGAGGTTCAAAAAAATCTCACAACTAGATGGCGAAGCATAATTCGAAATCTCACATAGTGGCGGCGATAGTGTCGAGCGATGTCCGAGCAATACTTCGTAATTTGACTGGCAGGTGCGCCACTTGCGAAGAGAATCTATTGGAATGCAGATGGTTTGCGACTCGGAACAATTAAACGATCCAATATCCATAATCCAGAGAACGCTTGTATCGAATCCACGATCAATCACTAATCAGTACGATTCTAACTAATATGGCGGTAAATTCGAATTTGTTAGTAATAGTTGTACTGGATGTGCTTCTAATGAGCGCATCACGGACGTAGGATTATGAAAAAAGTTTATAGAAATCGAATTGGAGTGAATCACCAAATTTAATGTCTCAACAATAAATGCTTCCATACTATTTTTGGCGATTGTGGAATAAACTGGTCAACGGTCATTGTTGAGTATTCTGTGTCAATATATAAGCTGCTCATAAATTTGAATAAGATTCAGGATGAACCAGCGTAAGCGTAATATATCAATCAACGTTTAGATTCACTGAACAGACAATATTATAACTCCTCACACTAGGTCGCCTACTAGGTTTTCATTTAGATGGACAATGGTTTTCAAGATTAGACAATATGTGAATATTCGCGGTCGCCAAGGTCATTTGATGATATTGTGATGACATTGAAAATTAGGGGAAAACATCCTAACTCCTGGCATAGATTGAAAGTTTAAAAAGTTTTCCCGTAGTTTTGTCATCGCAACGTCATCTAATGACCTTGGTGGCAGCGATATCATAGTAACTGTAATATCCGAAATATTTTATTCATTTGCCACTTTCCGCTTATGGAGATCGAACTATAACACATTCGGTATGGCTTCATTCGGGTCGATTCTGTCCTTATATAACATTACTAAGACAACAATATTGAAATGATAATAAAATATAACTATTGCTATGCAATTCTGAATTCTGTTTGGCCAGTAACTGCAAGATTGGTTATAAGTTCAAGTGATAGCAATCTTGTTGAAAAATTGAGAATTTTTGAGCTGACATAAATTGACATATTTCAGGAGAGGTGAAAGAACTAAGTCACAACTCCACCACATAAACAAGAATTTTAGATTGACATATCTTCAACGCCATTACTGTACAATGTGTCGTACATTTTCGAAAAACATGGTGAATGTAGAAATAAATTAGAATACTACGAAAAAAAAATGCATAATAATTATTATAAACACAATTTTTTTAATGAAAAAATTATAGGTGAAATCGGTATGGGGCGGTATCATGAAGAATCGTCGTTCCACGTAGGTTATTCTGAGAGAGTATGTGTTAGGGATGTTATCGTTCCAGTTGCCCACAACTTTTGGGCGCATCATGCGAACATTGTCACTGGAGATTTAAGACAACATAATATTGCCTACCTTTTCCCCCTATCCTTCTTAGGTACGCACGATGTTTCTCCAACATAATATTGGAATTCCCTTTCGTGCGCTCCGACGGTTAGATAACCGCAGTATGCCAAGAAGAATGAGGCCTCTCGTTGCTGATAGAGGAGGTGCAACAACGTATTGACAATTGACAATAGCAATTGAAGTTGTTTATATAACAATGTGGATTCCAAATGTCCATTTAAAATAGTGTGTTCATTATCTCAATTTTTTTGGTGTTATGTGGTAATATTCAAACTTTGCAGGAGTGTTGGATTCAATAGTTGAGAAAGTTTTCGATATTTCATACTCTCCCATCACTTCCGGTTTAACCAGAAATGGCCAATCTTTCGATTTTCATATGGAACACCCTGTATTTTATTCCATAATCAGTTAAGGATTATCACAACGAATTCAACGATACCGGGTTCCACAAGATTTTTCAAAACGATTACGATGATATTTGCGATCGAAGTTTCCACATGCTCAATATTGACTGTTGGGGTCGTTTCTGGTCAATAAACCGAAAGTGATGGGAGAGTATGGAATATCGCAAAATTGGGCAATTCTCGAATCCTACGCCCATGCCAAATTTGAATCTCATACCTTCAGAACTCTGGAAACCATGGTTTGTCTAAAAAATTCGATACCCGGTATGTTTGAAAATGTACAAAACATTGTATATAGTGATAGCGTTGGGCGTTGAGCAGGATGAGCTAATCTAAAATTCTGATGAAGTTGAGTTTATGATGGTTGAACATATCAGAATGCAATATATTGTGAAAAATTCCATAAAGTTACCAAAACATCCTATATGAACTCTCCTGAATCTAAAACCATTTTGAGAAAACTAATTTTCAGATATCACCCTGTAGGTCTTCATGTCGGAAAGGTGGAATAACAAAAAAACGTTGTACTCAATGGAATGAGCTATCAGAACCTTGAAATTAAGTTGAAATTGGTTGATCCAATCCAAAGTTATGACGGTCCGAAAATGATAGAAATGTTTGCATGTCTCACTTCAAATGTGTGGCAGTTATCTTCTTCATCCTCAAACACACCCCACTTAGTGATGTCATGCTATTCAATATTTAATATTTAGTTGATACGGTTTTCTTCTGATGTATTACTGCAAAAAGCATTATATTTTTTAGTCTAAATATGTTGTTAAGATGATCACATATCTACAAGATGGTCACCAAAGAGTTGATAGAGTATGAATTTGAAATAACCCTGTTTTGTTTCTGGTTCAACTAAGTTAAAATCACCAGAAAATCCAAAGTGAACAAGGTTTGTTTCTTTCAGAGTCATACAAAATAATATACATAACAGAAGAGTATATTTTCATGTCAACTTTCAACTAACAATTGATAGCTTCACATCTTAGGAACCATTTACTTAAATTAGCACTGAGTTCTTTTATGCTCACTGTTTGTCGTATGGCAGAATAAGCGGCAATATCAGCGATACTAGCCAGGGATCGACCTCCCAACCACTGGGATTTTCCCAGCGACTTATTCAGCGATTGAAGGAGAGAAGTTCTCTCAGTTTTAGTTTTTGACCTGACAATTAAGTAGCAGATATCTAGTAGGTAGTCTATTTCAACGGAGTCTGCATCTGCGTCGTAGTCTAGAGAGGACACTGCAGCTCGAACTAGGTAACGGAGAAGGTTGACTTCGCCTATGATCGGTGTGTGCGACACTAAGAGTTCCAAGTTGTTACTAACTGTAAAAGAAAACAAGACAAACTGATTTTTTTTGTTTATTACTTCCATTGTAGTTGTTTTGTGGGGTCAAGAGTACCAATGAATAGAGATTCGTTAGATATTTCTTTCAAATATTTTATTTCAACGAAAGACCATACACACACTAGATAACAAGCACCGTAAATGTAGGAATGGGCAACGCTAAGTTGGGAACGAACAGAGCGGTGATAATCCGCTGTGCGCATCTATTCATTATAACGCCGCGTATTCCACCGACTCGGATAATAATATTTGGTCAACGAATAGCACAGCCGATTAGCCGCCGGTCTTTTAGATCCCATCGAAGCGCTGCCAATTTTTACACAGGCGTTGACTATCTAGTGTGTGTATGATCTTTGCGTTGACTATCTAGTGTGTGTATGATCCTTGTTTCAACTAAATCCTTTTGTAGGATGTCAACAATATGTCAAAACATAAAAAGAACGTATTGTCGATGACAGTTGCCATGCTTCTCAGTCTGAGTCGTCTTGTTCTGTTTTTCTTATGATGATACAAGATGACACATAGCATCATAATATCACATCACACCTACTTTCAAATGAGTATCTTGTTTGATTAGTTTAACTCAAAATCCCTGAACCTAGCAGGAAGTTTTCTATTGGATCCTATGGGCCAATTTTTTGCTGCTACAGGCGTTCCCTGTCCTCCCCGTTAACTGATTTCTTTCCCTATTATTTTGTCATGGTGCTTCTTTCTTCTCAAGTAGAGGAAAGTGACTACTTTCCCTCCTAGTATGTTCCTCTAATGTCAGAGTTCAATTGCGCGGTTCATCATTGTAGGTAGATTAGGTAGATAGTGGGCTCTGGTTGCATATAATATGATCGTCTTTGTTTGGGTGTATCTATGTGAACACTGGTTTTCCTGGTTTACAAAGAGGCTTTGGCTGCCCTGATGTTCTCTTTGGTAGTAATGGTAGTCGACTTGTTATTGTCTTCCCCTTCTACTTCTGCACCTCCATTCGTATTGTCTGGTCTTATGTTGACTACATTCCTTCTGAATAATGAGTCACCAATACTAACAACATAAGAAGGATCGCTGAGCTTATTATGTATGGAACCATTGACCCATACACTTTTTTTTCTGGGTGAGTTTGTGTTTTCTAGTGAAGTAGGTACCCCTTCTCTGGTACTTCTTGTACTGGGTTTGATTGTAGTTTATGCGGAGTGTTTGGCCAGTGCGATAGATCATACCACAGGTCTTCGCACTTTTTAATCAATCTTCTGCAATTTTCACAGTTTCTTCTGCCTTATCGTTTCCTTGTTGAAGGTGCGGGGATGAAGTAACTTTGTCGAAATAAATGAATGAATGAATGAATTCTTTATTAACAAAGTTTGTACCATTATCTGTACATACGCGTATTGGGATGCCATGACGGCTAAAGTTCATCTTGGATGGAGTCATATCTTTGATTATTTTATTCGTATGTTTTTAAACTTTTGTATAATTTTTAATAGATTTGGATATAGAAAGAGTTGTCAAATGTTGGCGTTCGTTCAGTCTACTCAGGAAATAATCGCATCGAATACAATTTGAACTCCAAAATCTTCAAGACTATACATCTCAAACTTCCTGCACAATAATTACTAATAGTGTCAGCTTAACAGAACAATCCTCCCGCTTCGCGGTCGGATTATTTCAACTGTTAAACTGACACTCTTTGTAAATGAACTTTTCAGTATGATCTATTAAATCAGAAGTACCACATGAACGGTACGGAAAGTAGCTATTTTCAGGATTATTTTTTTCCACTTTCAGAACGATTTCTTCACTTCCGGGATGATTCTTGTTACTTTCCAGACGATTTTGGGTATAAATGTAGGCGGTTTTGACAATACCATTTAAAAGGATTTACAAAAAAAAAACATGAACTTTGTATTTTATTATAGCACAGCTTGTCATGTGACATTAGTGTTTGTGTTTTCACTTTTCACATCCAAAAAATTGCTTCAGAAAAATTATTGTTCCTAACACGATCCAAAAGTGACTACCCTCACCTATGGCTCATTCTGGAAAACTCCTACTCATCCCATGAAATGTCACTTTGGCAACTTGTTATGTAAATATTTATGTGTGTTTTCTTCGGATTTTCTAATCTAAAAAATGGCAACAAAAAAAATTGTATGTAACAGGATCCAACAGTGATTTTACATAATATTTACATAACAAGTTCCGAAAGTGATTCATTTTGCTTGATTATTTGGGATTTCCTCTCATAGTTTTTATTAAATAACAATATGAGCATTATTTCAATATACATGTAGTAGGACAAATCAGATGATTTGCCCCAAACTGTCACTGCCTTTACAATTTTTTGTTATCAGAATAATTGAAAGTACACTTTAGCCTTATCTTTTTTCTACATTTCTTTTTTGGATCAACTCCATTATCTTTCCTATTCCTTCAGGAACACAAATTTAAAGCATTACATGATTTCGAGGGGTAAATCTCCAGGAAAAATGTGTACACCAGACTTCCAATGAACAAAGACTTCCAAAGACTTCCAATGACTCCCAAAGACTTCCAAGACTTCCAAAGACATCCAAAGATATCCAAAGACTCCCAAAGACTCCCAAAGACTTCCAAGACTTCCAAAGACATCCAAAGACTTCCAAAGACATCCAAAGACATCCAAAGATATCCAAAGATTTCCAAAGACTTCCAAAGATTTCCAAAGACTTTCAAAGACTTCCGAAGACTACCAACGGAGTGTACACCAGACTTCCAAGGAGATTTACCCCTCGCATGATTTATCAAAGACTGGAACCTTTGGCACGATAATAATACACTACACTGTTTTACCACTAACCAAACCGATTTTTTAACGCCTCGACACGTGTTTCGCTAACTATGTTAGCATCTTCAGGAGAAGATTAAAACTGTTTTAATCTTCTCCTGAAGATGCTAACATAGTTAGCGAAACACGTGTCGAGGCGTTAAAAAATCGGTTTGGTTAGTGGTAAAACAGTGTAGTGTATTACATGATTTTATTGAATTCAATTGGCATTATAAGCATAAAAGAAGCAGGCTATGGTCTGGGAAGGCATTTCTTTGAATGGTCACATGGAAATTGTAATTGTAAATGAAACACTTACAGCTGAAAGGTACATATCAGTGATTTTAGAACCACATAGTGTAAGGAGTTTTGTTGATACAAGATAATGCCAAGCCTCAAATCACCTGAGTTGTGAGAGATTATCTAGAGGAAGTCTGTATCACTACCATTGCATGGCCAGCTCAGAGCCCAAATTCAAATCCCATTGAGAATCTCTGGTACATTCTTGGGACAAGATTACAAGAGGAACTTGAATACTTTGGAAGATGCACTCCAGAGACTGACTCAAATTTAGGGAGACCTGGACCAGAATGACATAAGTTCTCTTATTTTGGGTAAAGGCAACCTTCACCAAGAAGTTTTTCATGCCCTCGGCAAAAATACTCACTACTAAGCTACTAACCTTTTCTTTCACTGACTGTGCATTATGCTCTGTTTATCATTATTTAATTTGGTTATCAAGTTTTATAAAGTGTGTTTCTCCAGTAATAGGACAGATAATGGAGTGAATCCAAGAAAGAAATGTTGAAAATAGATAAGGCTAAAGTGTGATTTCACATATATTGTAAATGTCATGAAAAAAATACACTGTACTTGCTACACCAGGTATTTATAAAAAAGAGGTTTTATGGAAATACAGCTTGCACACCAATGTTCAGAAGGAAATAGCCTGAAATAACCTGTCATTCAAAACAAAAAACATCAAAATCAGACAAGTACTAGTGATAAAAATGTTTCCTAAACTTTTGGCTACTTTTTAGTGGTGCCTCAATTTCTTGGAGAAGGGGAGAAAATTCCAAAGATATGTTAATATTGGGAAATTGTTTTTTTTTTCTATGTTTTGGAAATATTACATGCTAATGGAAGATTTTAAGAAAAATATTGAAAATTGTTATAATAAATACCTCTACCTGTCTGCTATATGAGCCACTATATGACTGCATGACTCATATTGAATAGAAATGAAATGAACTATATTAATTTACCATGAACATACTCACCATTCTTCCAGATAAGTCTCAAATGCACTGTTGGAACCCCTTCTTTAAGATTGGCATTTACCAGCCTACTTTGCAAATTAATTGCATCTTCTGGCAGAGAAAAGACACTTGAATGTAGGTGAGCGGAAAACTTAAGATTCACACTATCTTGTAATTGTTTCTGAATGATTTCTAGTGAATATGGTGGGTTCAAGGGATTTATGTTTATAACCAAGTCAACTAGTTGGTTTGTCTGAAACAATACAGAAATGTAATCAATCATATTAGCTGAAATATTATTTCTCATATTACTTTCTTGGAATTTACCCTAGTTGAAATAGTTGAAGTTGGCACTGAAGATTTGGCTGATGCATTGTTGGAGATTTTCAAACTTAGTTTGATGGAAAGTATCTGATTCCTAAGTTCATCTAGTTGTTTGAGGATTTGTTCCTGTTTAGCTTCTAATTCTGCCATCCCTGGGACACACTGGTTGATCTAAATTGTAAATCTTTGTATAAAACCTGATAAAAATTTGATTCATGATGCATTTTTTTACTAATAATGATCAGCAGAATCTCAGTAACTCTAATGATAAAAAAAAATGAAAGAGCAACTATCAAATGACAACAGAAAGTCAACAAGAGGACATGAAATGAATTATAGTTCCTCCTTCATTTTTATTAGGTATTTGACAGTCGTTCGCAAAAATTGATAACGGTGGTGTCATGCAAGTGTTTTTCAACCTATTCATGGTAAGTACGTAGTTAAAAAGCCCCCTAAATATCTCAAAATTAAAAGTTACACAAGCATAATCTTAAAAATGAATAAAACCTTCAAAAACTGTTTAACCTGGTCGAAAATATCCAATTTATTCTTCGATACCCCAACGTGATCATGTGAACCATCTACCACTCCATTAGTACTTCTTGAATGAATATTTTTCAGATTGTACATACATTTAGGAAGTTGAACTGGTATGTTATGGTGGATAATTTGTTTCGTTCGATGCATTTTTATAGGCCCGTTCATATTTTTCGATGTTTTCGTAATTTGTCGAATTTAGAATAATGCTGAACTGCAAAATCGTTACTTTTCTATGATGAAATTTTGCTTTTTTATTGTCACTCCATGGACGTTCGTGAGCCGCGTGAGCGGGATCTTTTCTATCAAAGAATATTAAACTTATATCTTTTTCAGTAATGTTTATTGATTAATCTATATATTTAATTCCTAACATATTTTTAGATGAATAACTTTACCCAAATATTTTTCATGTTTCATCAAATATTAATAATAAATAAAAAATAATATAAGTATTGATTTGCATCATGCCCGCGCCACGAGTCGATAATGGCATCAATAGCGCACTGCACACCAGCGACAACGGGCTGGACATGTCATTTTCCATTTTGCCAACGCCACAAATCGGCCATTTTTGATAGTTAATTTTGATCAAATTGATTTCAACAGCTGCGCTGCTCTTTGCGTCTCTGCCTGTGGCCCTGCCTTCTGCGCATCGTTATGCGTTTGCGCTTTATGATAGATTTTCTGTTTCTCTTTCCGGAAATATCCGGAAATGAACCATAATTTTTGAAACGACATGAAAAAATACAAAAATTCGAAAATATATATTTATCAAATAAATAATTGCACTGATATTTCGAGGGTCTTACAGAATTCCATCAATCTTTTTAGTGTAATTTGAAATTTAGTTTCGCGCTATCATAGCGACATCTTCATTTAATGTTCGTAGTCACTTCTTGGAAAAGCTTGTACCTTGTACGAATAGACTTCCAGGGAATACATTTTTTGCATTTATCGAGGTGTTTAGTGTTAAAAACTTGTGATTCTGCATTAAATATTAGTGAACAATCGTAGGTTTCATCAAATTGTGCATGGAAAGTGAAAAGTTGAAACAATATAGTTGCAAGTTGTCATGGCGGCTATGTAATCGACCAATAGAAACGCTCGATGCGTCGGTTGTTGGGTGTTCTTTTTGGCTAAGGGATCCGCGTCATTGGACTATTTCGTGTTTCCTGAAGTGAAATCAGTGATTAGTGTTTATCCATTAGCAAAAGATGATGGACTTTTTGGGAGAAAAGTAAATAAAGAGTGAAAATCATACTGGGATCGGGTAAAATGTGTTTTTTGTTGTTTGTCACGTGACCTACCAGATTATTATGGCGAAACGCTCGGACATCGACCATGGGTCCTTTCATATGAAATTTTGACATTAGTATTGTATACAAGTTTGTTTTCTTCTATCTACCACGTGCATTTTAGCTAGTAATTGACAGCTGACCAAGGAGATGTCAACAAGGGGTATGAAAAAGAGGGGGCGTCCCCCAAAGGTTCAAGTAGCTGAAAGATCCAAAAAATTCCAGTATCACCTGCTCAAAAAGCCAAAATATTTATTAAATTACAAAGCATCAGACTCACAATCTAGTACACCATCAGCTTCAAGAGGCTCCTCTCCACAAGAAAGTGAATCTAGCAGACGAAGTAGCAATCGAATTAGAGGGAAAGATGGGCATAGAGCTAGTAGAAAATCTGGTTATGTGGGTTCTGCTTATCAGAGGAGAGGTTACAATACCTCCCAAAATGATTATCATGATTCTGAATACCACTATGGCTCAGATTTTGGAGATGATTCTAGTGACAACAAAAGTGATATTGAGGATGAGTTGGGGTTGTCAGAAAGTGAATCTGAGCGATCCGTTGGGGACCCCAGTAGTGATAGTGATTTTTCATTGAGCAGTTTTAGTACTATGAGTGGCACACCACGCAAAGGATTCAATGTAAATAGAGCACCTACACCTGATCCCCCACTGTGGTTGCAAAATAAAGATATTCCTCAACTGGTCTTGCCAAAATCATCAGATGATCTACTTGTACCTAGAGAAAGAATAATGGAAGTCCTAAGTATATATGAAGTTTTGAGGCATTTTAGAAATCTAGTGAGATTATCACCTTTTCGATTAGAAGACTTCTGTGCTGCAATAATGAGTGAAGATCAGAGTAGTTTATTAGCAGAAGTCCACATTATGCTGTTGAAAGCTTTACTGAGGGAAGAGGATTCCCAACAAACACATTTTGGCCCATTAGATCAAAAAGATACAGTGAATATCACCCTTTATTTATTAGACTACATAACTTATCCTGAAGTATTGAGAGCATATGTTGAGAGTGATAAATCATTTGATCAGAAAGTGCTGGAGATATTATCTACTACAGACTACCCATTTTGTGCTCTTGAAGAAAGAATCAAAGTCTTACAGTTTTTGACTGATCAGTTTCTAATCACCAATCCTGTGAGAGAAGATTTGCTAAGTGAAGGTATGATATATTTATCAGTAATATCATAAAAATCTATAAAAATAGAGAAAGATGATTTTTTTTTCAACTTCATCCACTTATTGTATTAAGTACTATGTAGCAATGTCAAATTTGCAGATTCAGTACAGCAATTTACATGTTTTAGATGTGGAGATGATAAAAAATACAATCAATTACTTATTATTTTTCACCTAGGTTTCCACTGTGAATAAACACTTCACAGTGAGCTGTGAAGTCAGGTGTGTGCAATCCATCAATGAAGGACATCAATCTGTTGAATTAAGGATCCTCATGATTCCCCATTCCTCATGAATCTATTTTTCTCCCTATATTCCAACTGTTAGCTGAGTTCACCATTAAAGATTCATAATTAACAGCTGAGTTCACCATTAAAGATTCATAATTAACGTTATCAAGACAAATATCTATTAAAATTCACAATTGATTAATATAATATTGATTATTCCTTGGGATTATTCTGATGAGTAACAATGTGGAATGATTGATGGTTGAGTTTTTTTTTACCATTTAGCAGCCACCTTATTAGGCATTTGAATGGAATGTAAAACATAGTACTTATTCCTCAGACCAAATTAATTTGATACAAACAAACTTCAGTCAGTACAAAGCCATAGATGCAACAACAGGGTTGCCAGATGTTGCAAGCAGTATATAACTCCAGTTGCTTAGTTAAACAACAAGAAAGAAGTAGCTGATTATATCTGGGTTCCTATAAATCACAATTAATCTACATAGATTAATCCTTTCAATATTTACTTATGCCATGAACTGTGAAAATTTAAATTTTAATAAGTTGAATAAGTGAGTTATGGAGATACACAACACAAATTTTATGTTCAAACCAATGTCTTTCCATCTAGCTTTCCCTGGTATTTCCATAGGCCTAGAAGTTTTAGGTGATTATTTACTGAAAAACTGAAGTTTTATAATGATATCCCTCATGATTATGATATGGGTTATATTATCCTGAGTATTATCCCTTAAAGCTATGCCAATTTATTGATTTGGTAAAATTTCATTAGCTGCTTCAAAGTTATGAAGCAGAAACATAACCATTTGAAACTTGTACCTTTAGACATCTTCAGAGCTATCTAAAGCCCACATTCATGATGAAAATTTCTTGAAAGATGTCAAAGCTGCCTATTTACTTTGTTTTCATTGGTTAATATTATTTGTTTTTTGTTTGTGCCTATTGGTCACATAGTCAAATCATAACAAACTGCTCAGAAGTGTTCAAGTTGTTGTTGTTGTTCTTTATTACCCCAAGAAACATATTTGTTTATAATAGGGATACATAAACATATGATATATAATTGAATATATATATATATATATATAAAACAATAAAAAAAAAAAAAAAAAAAAACTAATTAACAAGTTATGTCAATATAACATAATAATTAAAATAAAACCATTCCAAGTATTCAAATGAGAATAAATTGCTCCGTTTATTGTGTCATGAGTATATATTTTTTCATATTGACTTTGAATCTTGTTTCATCATCAATATGTTTCAAATCATAAGGTAATGAATTATATAAAATGATTCCGTTGTAGAATACTGATTGTTTGCCAATGATGGAGTTATATGGGTTTGCTATTAATGAATTCAACTGTCTCGTTGCATGAGTATGAATTGTATTTACTTCAGTAAAGTTCAAGTTGGATATTTTTATTTTTTTTCTCACAAAATGGATGAAAGAACAAATTTTCATTTTATATAAAGATGATAAATTCAACAGATTTTTTGGTTTGTAAAGATTAATAGTTGGTTCCAGGTAATGTAAATTGTAAATGCACTTAATTGTTTTATTTTGTAATTTCATTAATGGTTTCAAATGTGATATACTTGTGCTTCCCCAAATTGATATTAAATATTGTAATTTTGAGTAAATCAGACAGAAATATATATTCTTCAAATATCTAAGAGGAATGAAATTTCGAATTTTGTATAAAATGCCAGTAATTGGATTGAGCTTTTTTCTCAGGTGATCTATATGTTTAGTCCACGATAATTGTTCATCAATATAAAGACCTAAGAATTTTGTAATATCTAAATATTTTATGGCTTTCTGGTTGAAAAATATTGTTGTTTTCGACATATCAGTTTTTCTTTTTGAAATATACATATACGTAGATTTGTCATAGTTAAGGGTCAGCTTATGAATTTGTAGCCAAGATGATATCATTTTCAAGTCACTTTTTATATCATCAACTATATCGTTAAATTCTTTAGAGGAATAGATTATTGTAGTATCATCTGCAAATAACTTCAGATCTCCTTTTAGTTTCAAAGATGATATTGAATTGATGTAAATTAAGAATAAAATTGGACCTAAAACGGAACCTTGTGGTACACCAGTTGGTGGGGTGATGTGATATTTTCTATAGCTGATTCCCAAATTAAGCAACTCGTAGTTGATGATCATCTCTGGATTTTCTTTGTTGAAATTGTAAATATTTTCTAAAATTCAAGCTACACTCTTTCTCTTGTTTTGCCCTTGGTTTTACCACACTTGTGCATAGTTTTTAATGGTTTTTAATGAGTATTATCCCATTATCCAGGCTGAAATCCATGCTATCAAAGTCGCCATATTAATAATATTAGATGAATAAATATGAGTATTGAAATAAACTTTCAAATTTGATTACCTTTATTGATTTTCAAGTGCAACACATTTACTCTACACATTGAAAAACATATTTGAACAAATTCAGCAGGTTCAGCACAACGAATTAGGGATGCAATTTCAAGTTATTTGAAAATATTATCATCATGGTTATCATGTTATAAATTGAGTAAAAATTAGAGTAAATCAGCATTTATGTTCATCTCAATAAAATCAAGAAATAAGATATAAGGAGTTAAAATTTCCAATGGCATGTAATAATGAAGTCATTAAATATTCAAATAATATCAAGTTTCTTGGGCTTTACATAGATCAAAATTTGTCATGGTATAATAGGTATACTTTTTAGGGTACAGAATCAAGTTCCTATAATATGTGCTAGGTTAGGTTAGGTTCCATGTGAGTGGGAGGAACACCTCCCCTCCACTGCGACCCCAGATGGGTCTATTGTGGCTCACCCCTAGAGGTTACAGTTCACCGTACAATCCACATCTTTTTACAAAGTTCATGGTTGAATTGGGTGAGATTTGTCTGAAATCGATAGGTTCTAGGTTGGTAAAGCCAAATGTGTCGAACCTTAGTCTTTCTAAGCTAGAGCATGAACATAATATGTGTTCAGCCGTTTCGCTATCCACACAACAGAACCGACAGTCCGTTTGTTATAATATGTGCTAAGTCTATATACTTCCCCTTGATCAATTCTAAACTTGAATATTTGATTTCTGTATGGGGATCAACAAAACTATCAATTATGAAGCCCCTCAAAACTCTTCAAAATATCATTATCAAATGTATATACAGACTAAATTATTTGGAACCTACTAAGAACCTTTACAGAAGAAGAGAAGTAGATTCACTATATAAATTCAAATTATTATCATTCATTCAGTTAAATATTGTCAAAAGCATACTAGTTTGGTTTTCCAAATTAATAGTAGTCATCACAATGGTAATCTGTGCCACAACCACAGCCAGAACCATACAACTAGACAAGCAGATCATTTTTCTGTCAAGAAAACTAAATCAGATATTTGTAAAAAGTCAATCTAGGTATCACAATGGAATGATACAATACAATTAACTACCAAATAACTTGAAGCTGATTAATGAGATTGAAAAATTTAAAAAGGAATTCAAGAAACATCCATTGGGTACCTAACAACTGAGTCAATTAAGAATAATTTTCAGTTGAATTTAAAAAAACAAATGATTTCTTCTTGAGTGTGAGTTTTATTTTACTGTCTTCTTTATTTTGTCAAATATATTTATATATTCACCATGTTCCCTGCTATAAGCAAATGTTGTTTCTTGGGAATAATAAAGTTGATTGATTGATTGATTGATGAGAACATATTTATTTATTTATTTTATTTATTTATTTAATAAACGGATTCACCATTACAATAGTTAATTATTACAGATTGACAAGATGGCATAAGAACAATAATATAGCATTGATATTGATTGAAATTTCAAATTTGAACTATATGGTTTGGTTTGAAGGATACAAAACAAAATTCCTGTATTAACCAACCTTTAGAAATTAACACTAAAGTATAGATTAATTGTGGATCCAGCCAGGATCAACTATACAAATTTTATTTTTAAAATCAGTTAAGGAATGGACAAATGGATCAATGTTTAATATGTTGAAATTACGCAAAATACGTGATAATGGGCTGAAGAACCCATAATTAGTTCTATGAGTTTTTATAGTAAAAAGATCAGTGTTTCTAGTGAAATATGATGGAACATTGAAGTTTATCATATTGAGAAGATCGCAACAATCAATCACACCTGAGATAATCTTGAACATGGTGATACTATCGAGCCGAAAGCGTCTGATAGATAGGTTGGTTAAGTTGAGGGCATTGAGAGTATCTGTATAATTGAAATTGTTGTAAGTTCCCATTTTATAAGAAATGTGCTTGGCAAATCTCATTTGGACTTGTTCAATTAGTGTGATATCACAGTTATAATGTGGCGACCAGATTATGCAACCATAGTCTAATAAGGAACGTACAAGAGAGCAGTATAAAGTATTAACTGTGTTACAAGAAAAATGTTTTGTATTACGCATTAGAAAACTTACCATTTTATTAGCAGATGCTGATACTTTCAGTAGTTGACTCTTGAAGGTGAGACGCTCATCAAAGATGATTCCAAGATCTTTAATTTCAGTTACTTTTTCAAGGATCGTATTGTTAATATTGTAGTTATATGAGGAAGCATTAAATGAGCGGGAGAACGATATTGTAAAACATTTATCAGTATTTAAAGCAAGACTGTTTTGAACGCACCATAAATGAAGGTTATCAAGGTCGTTTTGAAGAGTTTGACTGTCTAGGA